GGCGGCTGCTGCGATCGGCATCTGCAGCTGGAATATTCCAACCGCTTCTTTTGAAGGCTGCCAAGCAAGCAGAAAATCAAAATATGTATCACACATGCGAAGATCCTAGTTTTCAGTTTTTGTACTCAGATGAAATCCGGACAGGATGGGGCTGTGAAGTTGTTCCACTGAATTCCAGTCGGTCCCTAATGCCTAGCAGTCCCAGGGAAAACAGATCACAGCATCAGCCCGAGTCCCTCCAGGAGTGCTACCTCGTCTTTTGGGTAAACCAGCACTGGAGATAAAAAATGGAAAACACAGACAAGTGGAGAGCAACGAGAAGGAGGAATATATAAGCAGGCTGTGTTGGATTTTTTTTTTTTTTTGAAGTATTTCTTAGCCATGTGTCCTAGGCTGCATCCAGCTCTGATGTATGGCCCCTGTAAGTCCCGCAGAGTGAGCAGCACCTGAGCTGATGGGGTGGCTGAACCCCAGAGGCACTCAGACATGCTGTTTGCATTAGTGCTTTTTCCCTGGATGCTTCCAGGAGCAGTGGGTACAAAGGGCCCTTGCCTGCTCTGCACAGAACTGGAGGTGCTGCAGTGGGCACCGGCAGCTTTTCACACCCTCTCCTACAGCATGAACACGCTTGCTCACTGCGTCCAAGAGAGAGAAGGGCTTGAGATCCCCCTCCAGATGCTGGGGTGTATTTCAGCCCCTCTGTATTTCAGACCCTGGCAAGAGGCAGCTCAGCTGCCCTGGTCCAGACCATCTCCAGCAGCTCACAGGACCTGCAGTATTTTTTATCAAATTGCTGAGTGTTGCCTTAATTTTAAATTTCCTTATGCTACAACATGTCAAGGAGGGAAGAAAGAACATCTCGTCAACTCTTTTCTCTGGAAATGTAGATTAAAGAGGAGATGACAGTGTGCTTTAATTTTTTAAAAGTTCTCTCAAGCAAAATGAATATTTATTTTGTGCCTGAAAGCATCCATTTTCTGAGCCATAACTTCTAGCCCCGGTTATTCATAAGCTGTCTTTCAGCCTCCTGACATTCCCTAGAGATGTCCCACTCCCTGGTAACATGTCACTTAGAAGGGACTGGCTCCTACAGACTTCGGGGGGCTCCTGAGAGGGCATTTGGGGCAGTCCGCAGGACGAGGGAGCCTTGCTCCCATCGCTGCTGTGGGAAAGCAGTTCCCCCAGTACCAGACCCTCTTTCCTTTTGTGCTGTCAGTGGCTGCAGCAGACACGGGGGTTGACTTGCCGCTTGGCTCTTTGCTACATTTTGCTATCTCATGAATGAGCCTTTGGAGCATAAAATGAGCCGGGTGTTGCTCAGCTGAGTCATGCGGAGAGCGAGGAACCGAACGTGTGCTGCTCGGCTGCCAGATGGCAGGGCAGCCCTGGACAGCAGCCCCAGAGACGATGCCCTCGGTGTCAGAAGGTTCCCCGGCTCATGATGCATCCTAGAGCACAGGAAAGAGGTAAAACCAAGTGACTAAGCACTGGCTGGGTGAAAACCCTAACTGCATTTACCTGCTGGCACCGTTACCTGCATTCCCAGCACTGAGTGCTGGAGCTTTTTTTACAGCCTAAGCAAGCTGTCCTGAGGGTCCTGGAGCTATTGTGAGAAATGAAACACTGCAGGTGAATAAATAATCTGTGGGTCTGGCATGCATCATTAAACCATATCAATAAAAGAAGTGCACAGAGTAAGCATCGCGTTACTCGCTTTTATTTCTCTAAGTACAGAGAACAAAGACCCCAAACAGTCAAGGGAGTGGTTCCGATTTAGCCCCTGAAGACGTGGTGCTGGATGTGTCACACGGTGCGGTCACCGCAGCTAATCCTGAATCCTGCCAGGGCCGGCGTCCATCTCCCCTCACCATGCTGCTAGGGGGGAGCCCAGAATCGGTGCCTCGGGGCCTGGCAGGTGGGGTTTGGAGCTAGCAGCCTTCTGGTTAGCGAATGATCCATGTCAGGCAGGTGGAGCGCAGGTTTGCTACTGCCAGTGGTGGGAAGCAGAGCACATAAATAACGCGAAGGGTTGAACGGCTGCTTGGTTTGCTACTCCTGGACCTCTGGCTGCTGCCAAGCAGAAATCAGCCGTGGTACATCTGATGCTGGGTGGCGTTAGGATGTAGATCTCAATGGAAATGCATTTTTCCTTCAAAGACAGAGCAGCGCTATCAGGTCAGCACTACCCTGGCTGAGAGGGGTATTTGAGCAGTCCTCTCGGCCTGCAGACTGTGTTGTACATTTAGGTTTATTGCTCTGCATAACTGATAGACTCCTGCTGTGATTGCACAGCCTTCAAACCAGGTGCCTGGCAGTAGCCACCTATTTCAAGAGCCATGCAAACGATCTCCTGTCCTGCCTGCCATTCAGCGTGCCTTAATGGAGCTGGCCACAGGAAAGCCTCAATCTATTTCCAGCGCTCGCTTTGGCAGGTTATTGATGTGCAGGTTGTAACACGGTACCGCAGCAATGCCAGAGAAATGATGGCAGTAGTCACAGTACCCTTTCCACATGCACATAATCAGCTGCACACTGGTTTCATGTTGCTCTGCTAAGAGCCTGGCAGTGGCTTTTGGGACTCACAGATGGCATCTCCAAACAATTAAACGCTGAAGAATGTCATTGCTGAGAGACTCGTAACAGCAATACATGGGGAAGGCAGAAATGAGCAGGCACCTTCCAAATTGCAAGTCTGTTTACGACCTTTCTTTTGGCTTCATTAGCAATACCGCTGTGCAGTTGCACGTTAACTGTTATGGATGGCCAGTGCACCTGCTCCTCTCCCTGCCTGACCCTGAGCACAACCAGTAGTTGTGAGGCCCATGCTGACTGCCTGCGTACCAAAAGTGGCAGAGTAACTGAGCAGAACAAACAGCAATTGCTCTAGGTAAGTGTGTTGGTGTGATTTGGTACTGGGAAGAAGCAAAGGTTTCGCCTGGTGCCACATCACACGACTTTGTTAGATGCAGCATCACTGCAACTGTTCTAACTCGGTTGTGCATATCCCTGATAACGTGGACACCTGGGTCACCTCCTCATGTGGATTAAAAAAAAGTGATGGGTTAGTGATGGGACTTGGTAGGTCATGTTGATGGTTGGACTTGGTGATCTTAACAGTCTTTTGCAACCTAAATGATTATCTGATTCTATCATTCTGTTTCTTTTTTTTTTTTTTCTTTTTCCCAGCATGAGGGTCTCCATGCACAGCAGAGGAGGAAATGAAACACCACGCAGACTGCAGGCAGGTGCAGAAGAGCAGCATTTGTGAAGGGAATAGCTGATTTCCCCAGCAAAGGAGTGACCACTGGGGAGATGGTGTGCCACAGTTACTCGTGCTCGGCTGAGGAGAAACATGAGGTTTTGGCAGAAACCCTAAAAACACTCTTGTACTAAAAGGCAGCAGCAATCTGGCAGGTACACCCTCGTGGATACTGCTGATGGCCTTGCTCCAGCCTCTTTAATGACACCTTCCTGAAATGGGATCCTTGATGGTGTCCATCAGCCCCCAAGATGCATAAAAACAAATTGTGGAAGTGCAGGTTTCCATGGAGAATATATTATGCTTCCTCCTGGCAACCCTTCCCTAGGCAACACTGGGAACTGGTGGCTGTGTGTGCAGAGCAGGGCTGGCCCCTATAATGGGGGCTTTGGCCCCTATTAGCGAGGAAGCTGGGAACTGGATCCCTTTCACGTGCACCCAAGGAATTCACAGAATTCACAGAAGCTTGTAACTCCTCTACCAGTTTCTGATAAACAGTTAGCGACTGCTAGCAAGTCACCAGCCTCTCCTCTGCTGAAGCTGACCCAAAGGTTTTTCTCACTCTACCAGGTCTCCACTCTCCATCGGGTTTAAAGATAGTTCCTTTTGCACATCTGAAGTTCCTAGCTAGGAGGAGACAAAGCAATGGCACGTCTTTAGTTGGCATTGATGTTGCAATGGGAAAGCATACATTGGGGAATTGCTTTAAACAATAGGGATTTACAGGCAACAAGCCAGGAAAAAAAAAAAATAGTGTTTGCGTTATCGGTTGTTAAAAATTACTAGTCTTGCTAAAACAAATGAGCCAGATTGAGACTTTGCTATTATTCCAAAACAGGAAAACCCTAATCAAAACCACATCTCCTCTGAAATTTCTGTCTGCTTGAATTAAAGCATGGTATTCATCCTCTGGCGGAGCAGCCAGGCTGCCCTCGTACAGCCCGTTGTCAGCCGGCCTCCCAGTGGCAGCGCTGCTCACATATTAGTGATTAATACTGGTTTAAATTAACACATTTAACTGCTATCAAGGCAGTTTGGTTGTCACATGTGGAAAAAAATGGACCAGATTAAGGGTGTGGATGACAGCACGCCCAAAATTAGTGCAATTGTTTCCAATTCAGGTGGGTCGTCCGATGTGATGGGACTTCACCCTATGCCAAAATAGCAAGGAAATCCCTGGTAATGGCACTTGTTTGAGGGCAAAGTGTGTGTTTCGGGGCAATGTGGCGGGACACAGAATGATTTAACCTTTTTGGAAAGCCTTTTATTAAACTGCAGGGTGGTTTTGGACAGCGGGGAATTAAAACGAACGCAATTAACACTTTGGAGGGAGGACGCGCAGCCCCCTCACTGAGGCGCCCCCCGCCTCAAAATGGCGCCCGGCCAGGGGCTCGAGAGGAGCGCCCTCGCGGCCCGTCGGGCAACAACATGGCGGCGCCCCGCCCCCGCCCCGTGGCCACGCCCCCTCCTGATTGGCCACGCCCCTTTTCGTGTGGCCACGCCCCTCGCACGTGACCTCCCCGCGCGGGAGGCAGCCCGGCTCAAAAGGTCGGGCGGCGAGCGGTGGGGTCCTTCGGTGAGCTCCTACTGCGGGGGTGTCCACCGCGCGCCTGTCGCACCGTTCGCAGCGAAATCGCTGCGGGAAGGGGCAGGAGGGGCGTTTCAGCGCTGCCGCCACCCTGCCGCCGCCGACAGCTTTTTCACCGCTTTTCCCTATCTCCGCCTCACCGGCACTTCCCTCGGCTTCCCGAGCAGGCAGCGCGGAGGACGCCTCAGTACGGTGGCCGGCGGCGGGGAGGCAAGATGGCGGCGGCGGTGGTGGCGGCGGCGGGCAGGGCCTGTGCGGGCGGCGCCGTGCGGGCGGCGTGGCGAGGTGCGGGGGGGGGGCGGCTCCTTTTCACGCTATTTCACGCTCATATTACATTTTTTTAGCGCTCTGCAGTCGCTTTCCAAAGCCCAGCGGTCTTATTTTCCCGTCAGGGTGCGCTCAGGCGGAGCGGGCGTGTGATTTCCAGTCAGATCGGGCTGGGTTTGGGGCTCTCTTCAGAAAACTTGTGCTTAAAAAATGGGAAAACGCCTCGGAGGTGTGAGGGAAAAATACTCCGTGACTGAAACCTGCTGGCGCGTGGCGCTTATGGAGTGTGTAATTAAGTCTCATAGAGGCTTTATGGTTCTCTTTGACCCGCAAAAGGCACTATTTCCACATAAAGTTAAAATCCTTTTATTAAAGGCCTTGCTGAGCAGGCAGCAGCCTGTGGGGAGGTTTGGAAGAGCCCTGAGGAAAAGTATCGGTGTGCTATGGGAAGCTCTGAGGGGAGGAATCACCTAAGAGTCATAATTAAATCGTTACACACATAAATGCGTGTGTGTCCTTCAGGGGAAGGCTGAATAATAATAAATCCTGCTGGAGGCTGAGGTGAAAAACATTTTCACTGCCCAACCACAGAGTATCTCTGTAATTATGTCTTGCAAGTGGACCAGGAAACTAAAAGGCTGTGACTGCTCTTAAATCATTAGTTAAAGTAATAAGGGTCATTTTAGGTGTGACCCTCGAAGGTTTTGTGGTATCATTACATTTGTTGTTCCACGCTTAGCCCAGGCAGACAGCGACCTTCTCCACGTGCTGTGATTTTTAAATGCCTGGCTTTCAGCTTGAGAAATTGTTCTTCACATCCACGTTTTGCCAAGGTAACAGTAGGGGTTTGTTTTTGAAGAGCAATTTGTATTAGTGCAAAGATTTCATCACTGCACGGCTCTTGAGCACTTGCAAAACACCAGAAAAAAAAAAATAGTAACAGCTCTGAAGTGTCTTCCCTGCTGTGATTATTTGTGTGAGCGCATTGCTTCTGTACATGGGTTTCATTTGAGTAAAAAGCAGTAAGCAGGATGTGGAATGGAAAAACCCTAGGCAAGAAAAGAGTTCATTGCCCATTAGAGAATAAACGCGTAGCGCTTGGTATCTTCAAAACTGCAACTGGGAATTTAACCAGGACACACCTCTGTCTCCTTGTGCATAAACTTTTTAAGAATATCTTGATTATTTCGGTCTAGAGCCTCCTGTGTGCATGCCTGGAACTATATTCGGGCAGTTTTTGCAGAGAGTGCTAATTATAGCTGCACAATAGGCATCCTGATGGCTCTTTCTTAAGTTTTGTTGTGGTTCTTTTTCTTACAGCGCACTTCTTGCTGCTGAGACCAAATTCCTGCAGTGTTTCTTTCTCTGAAGTACAGAACTAAGAATGGTTTTCCATACTTGATTCTCGTGGAAAATAATTATGAGAGTAGAAGGGATTAATAAATCCTTGCCGATTTTCTTTCTTATTAAAAAATGTGAACACTTGCTGAACGGTGCATTCACTAATTAAGCAAAAGCATGGATGTTCAGACTACTTGCTGTCTTCCAAGGTATTAGGTAATGTAGGAAACAAGTGGCAATCTGTGTGAATTTGGGGCACGATGTCAGGAGAGGTGCTGTGTTCTGCACATAAATCTCCTAAAGGTGGTAGGTTAACCGGCATGTAAAGGTTACGAATGAAATTATAATGAAATACGCATATTAAAATAGTAGACTTGTGTATGACTGAGTGTTTAAAAAAGAAAAACTGTTAGGGACTAAGAGACTGTAGAAATAACTGTTAAACTGTTAGGTTTCCATTTCCACCTGTCCTGAGATGAGTTCTCCTTTCTGTGTAAGGAAAAATGAAATGCTTTTACCCTGGTTTTATGAGGAAAATTTCCAATGCCAAAAATGCACACACGTATACAGAAGATACGTATAGTTATATATAGCATAAAATTCTGTGTTTAGCCAGTGAAAGATAACATCTAAGTCAGGCCAGGGTTGTAAATGTGATGTTCATATCAGGGAAATAAGTATCCAATGATGGGTTAATTTTCTATTAGTGCAGAGCAGGGCTTAAATATAGTAAGCTGGCATTTTTTTCCTGCTCTGTTGACTTATCCTTTTGTTGGTGGCAAGACATCAGCCCTGCGTTTGTGATCTGTCTTGCTTTTACAGGCAGTTCAGTTTTGAATAGCTTATGGTAAGAAACACTTTAGATTTTTAAAGAAAAATCCCATCACATGTTTGGAGGATATATGAAGAGGATACTGATGCATTAACTCTGCATGCTTACATAGCACAGCACGCTTTGATTGAGATGTGACATTTCCAACCGTTTACCTTCCATAAATACATTTATTTGCCTGGCTTTCAAAGCTGTCTATTCCCTTGGTAGCAGTATGTGCAGAGAAAAGTGTGGGGGGGTACTTCATAAATACAGGCACTTGGGGTCTCAGGCTTTTCATGGTTGGTGGGTGAGGTTATTTTTCTCTTTTGGGGGTGCAGGGGGGTTCATCTTCCTCCTCCTTTTGTCCTGCTGCATTTCGGAGACCAAAGCAGTCGTGTGTCTGGAATATTGTCAGTGAAGCCCCTGGGATTTGTTAGACACAGGAATTTAATTTCCTGCTCAGAGCTGATATTCTTTTAAAAGTATAAATTTAAAACTTATGTCACTTTAATGTTTTCTTTAAGGATTTAATCTCTTTTAGTGGGAGCTCTGTCATTGGTCTCAGACAAACAAGGTCTCACCCTGTGCTTTAACAACTTGTTACAAATTGTACATCTTAAAACCAGTTTGAATCACCAGACTTGATGAGATTGCTTGGTGACCATTTTTCTGTAAAACTGGTGTTTATTTGACTTCATATTTTGGCATTTGACTTTTCTTCTGTGCCCGAGTTCTGACAGAACTCTTTTCTACAGCAGTTCATCTGATTTCACTGCCTAGTGATTCATTTTGTGTTGATCCTATTGCTTCCGTATAGGCTTTTTCACATTGCCATCCTAATTTTGGAAGGAGGTGGTACTGAGGATGTGGAACTTTGCTAATGAATGTAGGAGTGAAAAGGAAAACCAAAAACCACTCCCCCAAATTGCATTACGAAGACTTTTGATAATGACAAGCAGTCAAATACTCTTACATTGTATTTTCTGAATGAATGCATGGTTTCGTAGGCTTTAAAATATGATTTTCATCACTGTTTCTGATGATATTCTGAATAGTGACCAGTTGCTTATCTTGTATTAACTACTAATAAAACCCCAGCAGAGAGCTCTGAGTGGATGTCCATAAAGCCAGTCTGATGAATGGTGTAAAAGAAGCGTTCAGAGATGGCAAAGCAGTGAACCTAAATTAATTCGTTGCATCATTCATTGGTAAAAGATGCAGAAAATATCCATATGGCAACCCTTGGCATGTTGATGGGAGTTAGGATTTTTCTGAAGTTAAAACAACCGTGGAAGAGGTTATGGGACAAATCTACAGGGTGGTGGTTAGCAGAACCAGAAACTGTTCACAAAAGAATTCCAGGAGACCTCAAGGACAAAAAAAATGAATTCTGGTAAGGTGTGTACCCCACCTTTGAAACTGCTTTGGTACCTGGAAAGTTAAAGGTGGTACATGTGGCATAAAGGTGCATCACAATGCATGGTGCATTGAACTAATGTCTTCTGGAGAGGAAAAGAGCTTGCGTGATAGGCTAGCCTTGCAACACCCAAATCCAGAGGTTATCAGGAAAGGTACTTCTGGAGGTACATTTCCCATTTGGGACCCCAGAGTAAGTCAGGTCGGTGTGATAACAGAATAGTTGAGGTTGGAAGCCTCTGAAAGTCATCCAGTCCAGCCCCCTGCTCAGTGCAGATTGACCCAGGGTCATTTGCAGTTCAGAATGAAAAAGTGCTTTCTTATGTTCAGGTAGGTTTAAACTTCCCCCCATTGCCTCTTGTCCTGTTACTGAGCACTGCTGAGAAGAGTCTGGCTCTGTCTTTTTTCCGCAGAAGGTGTATTCTCACTGTCAGTAATATATTAGAAACCTTCCACTTCTCTTTCTGACATTTCCTATTGCAACGTTCCCCCCACCCCTGTCTGCAACTAACTTTGTGCTTCAAGACAGTAGGTTCACGTCTGATGCCCTTTAGAAAAATGAGTAAATGTTACTAGGTTCCTTTTTTTGGTGTTTTGCTTTTGGGTTGGGTTTGTTTTATTGTTTTTTTGCTTTTGTGTTTTTTTCAAGTTTGTTTTGGGGTGTTTTTTGGGTTTTGTATGCATAAAGGAACCAGTGTTTTCAGAATGAAAATGTCCTGTATCTAACCACCTTTTTGTCTCTATCCTCAGGGTTTGCTTCTGTGCCAGTGAAAGGGAGTTGCTGTTCCTATTCCAGCCTGGCATGGGCTCTCCAGGTGCAATGTTCCATCTCTGCCCCCCGGAATGTCATGGTACAGCAATGCAGACAAAGCAGTTTCTTCAATATGTGTAAGTCCTGAGTTAGTTTAAAATTATAATCTGTGCTAAAAAAGGAAAGGAAAGCTTGCTTCTATTTTTTGGTATTTTTTTTCTAGTTGTAACCCACATCTTGTGAGATACCTAACAACAGTTGTTGATAGAACTGTGTGCACAAGGGCAGTTTATTCTAATGGGAAGCAAGAATTTGATTTATGTAGCAGTGAATCCATCCAAAACACTTAATTGGATGGGAAGGGGGAAACACCTTCCCCTCTGTTTCCTAGTTCTTTATTGACAATATAAATTGTGTGTTTATTTTCCAAATGTTTTTGAGCCATAAGCAAGATGCTCTGCTCTATTCAAGCTGTGCTGTCTCAAAAATGAAATAATTAAAATGCAATAAAACGCTCAACAAAAAGTGTTGATAACGTCCTGCTAATTGTCAGACCAGCTGCAGCATTATCCCTCCGTCCTGAAAGGAATTCCACACATGCTTAACATCATTGAGAAATGATGGCTGTTGAAGTCCCTGCTTGGGACTGAGAACTGAGATAGCTGAGGCATCATCCCACCTGTTTTATGGGTCCTTAGCTGTGGTGTTTTCCCATGGAGGAGGAAAAGAAAGAATAGTAAGAACGTAATCTCTGGAGTAGATAACTGGAGCAGTTTGACAGTCAAAGCTCTTAGACTTTTAATAATCTATAAACTACAAAAGATCTGTTTAAAAACAATCAAGCTTTCACAACTGACAGTCTTTTTCTGTTCTTCTCAACGTTATTGTGGTAAAGTTAACTTTTCTTTGTATTTTATATATAAAGGGGGGTTAAAGTAAGCATGCTGTCTGTTCCTCTTCTCAGGTTAATTTTGACTGTCTGATTTCAAACAAATGACAGAGAGGGCTCAAAACGCCTGCGAAGGGCTGCAGCATGATCTGTATGGGGAAGGCTTTCTAAGGATGCCAACTGCAGGAAAAATTAAGACTTTTTCCTTAACTGCCAGTCACAAGACAAAGACTATGTAAAAAAAAAAAAAAGGCATTGTTGTGTTTTTTTTTTTTACCTTAAATTAAAAATAAAGCATTGCAATCACTTCACAGTGATTACTCTTTGTAGTTTAGATATGAACATAAGCATAAATTAAGGCAATAACATCTAGGTGAGCTGTGTTTTAATGAGAATTATGCCAGCTGTCTTTTCAGATGGCTTAATTAAAAGTATTAGTTGTAACGACATCCCTATTGTTTGACTCAGTAAAACTGTGAAGTTATATTTGAGCAAGCTACGTAAAACTACTGGCTTATTTAATAAGATGTAAGAACTTAAGTGTACTTCTTACATGTATTCAGCAGAGACAGAAGTCAGTCTGAGTTTTTTGTTTGTATCCAAGGACCAAACTCTGGAAAAAAAAAATTATATTATGCTATCCTTTTGAAGTTGTGTGCTCCCTCACTTGGTAGGCTGTTTTGTTAAAAAGGCAGGTTACCAAAGTGGGTTGAACATAAAGTAGTTAAGAACACTTTTATGCTTTCTCAAAGCAATCAAGAAGGCTGGATAAATAAGAGATCCCCTAGGAATCTGGAGATTAGAGTAATTGCTTTTTCTTGTCCAATTCATCATGCAGTTCACTTGGAAATGTAAAATTTTATACTATTGATCCCGAGTATGAGCCAAATCTGCAGAGTCCCCTACTAATATGGTAGTGATAAATGGAGTGTGCAATGCTAATCTTTCAATTGCGATCGCTCTTAAACTTTCACTGCTCTTTTTCCACTCAGATGAATGCACTGAAAAGATAAGCCCACTTGTGTCTGGGCTGTGTTAAAAATGCTGCTTTATTGGGATAATAAAGTGGTGGCATGGTCTGCCCTGAGAAATGGTGGAATCCCCCTCCCTGGAGATCTTCAGAAGCTGTCGGGACGTGATCCTGGCCAAGTGGATCTAGGCAGCCCTTCCTGGGCAGGGAGCTGGGGCTGGGTGAGCTCCAGAGGTGCCTTCCAAGCTCAAGCATCCCGTGATGCTGGGGCCAGCTGTGAGTGTTGCAAAGCTCTGACTCCCCTCTGAGTGTGTCGAGGGGCTGGGAAGCTCTGGGGCTTTGCTGAACTGAGTGGCTGACGATAACGGGGGCTCAGGTCTTGTTTATAGGAAATTTTGGGCCAAGACTAGTTTCATCTTGGTGGTGCAAGTGATGAGACAGTAAAAGGAAAATGACTTTTCCTTGTCAGGTACAGAGTCCTTTGAAAAGCTGCCCTTTGACTGAAAAGGTTGGTCTTGTTTTTCCCAGCTGGTAATTTGTGGAGGAAGGCTGCTGGTTTCAGAGCACCTTCTTGCCGAGCTGTTTTCCCTGCCTTTTTTCCATATTAAGTAAATAGCTTAATAGTTGGAGTTGAATAGTTAAACACAATAAAGTTTTCAAAATTCAAATGAAGTACAATATTAACAGTATAAATCACATTATGGCACTCATATCCCTTAGCAGTGCAGTTGTTTCGGAAGTGTGGTAACATTAAAAATGCAGATACGATCGTTATATGTGAAACATAATTGTCAAGTGAAATGTCAAATGACAGTCCTGTGACAGAGGAAAGTGGCAGTACTTTGTCTCGTTAGCGAAGGTTTACTTCTCTTCCATCATAATCTTGAGGTATTAACATGTTCACAGGGGCACCTGTACCTTCCACTTGATCTTTACAAATAGTTTAACTCACTTAAATGGGAGGAACTGCAATTATCCCAGGCAGTCTGTGATCCTGTCCCATCACTACACCACGTCCTTCAGTGCCACATCCACACGTCTCCTGAACACCTCCAGGGATGGGGACTCCAGCTCAGTCCTTGACCACCCCTTCCACGAAGACATTCTTCCTGATGCCCCATCTAAACCTCCATGGCACAGCTTGAGGCTGTTAAATTCCACCGGTCCAGGCTTTCCGGGCAGATGCTCCAGCTTGTAGCTGTCAAGAAACATTGATGCTGTAAGTTTCAGATCCCAAAAAATATGGGATAAATCCCTTTTTAATTTAAGAGCCACAGAACCGGGTTGAAATATATAGGCTGTCATTCCTGAAGGCAGCAGAGGCACCCAGGTGTCACAAATACTGAAACATTTTGACCCAAATTGTGCAAACCTTTTGGCTCTAACAGCAGGGGAAACTTCCTCAACATCCATTGTGTAGCCGAGTGGCTGTGAGACTAAAGAACTTGTGTTGGAAATGGCGATTAGATCAGAATTGTGCTTTCCCACTCACGGCATTAATTCCATTAGTTACCATCGGGAACAAATAAAAAGAAGTGCTTAATTTCTCTGTTGCTAGGTGATCTTTCCCCGTAAATTAGAACACAGAGTAAGGAACATGACAATCCTTTGGAGCTCATAGAACTAGACGGTAATAATGAAGGGGGAGTCATTTAGCCCAACAATACACAATCACAGCCCAACGTGCCTTGTTTCCAGGTGCTCTGCTTACCGCAGGCAATTGCACTCGGTATAAATCTCGGTGTTCTTTATTGCAAACGTCGCTTCTGGAAAGCCTATTTTTTAATTACATTTGATATTAAATTCTCCCAGTCCTGTGCGAGTTGTCTGGATTAAGTTGTTCATTTTTCTGCCTTGCCTGATTGCAATCAAAGTGGGGAAAAAAAAAGATCTTTACAATTTCTAAAGATTTTTTCTTCAAATACAACACTCCAGATAAACAATTGAGTTGCCACTTGTCACCGTTATTTTATTTATGAGGAGGATGCTTGTGTGTGTATGTGGAAGAACAGTTGGTTAATTTGAATTAAAAAAGGGGGAGGGGGATATTAAATACAGCTTAAATGTACTGGTGGGGGTGAATTTTAACTGGTTTTGATTTGTTGCTGTAACTTCTGGGAAACCTCCAGAGGTTTCCTTGCCCTACCATAACGCAGCATGCAATAGTTCCAGTTCCTGGGAAGTTACCCCAACTTTTCTGCGTGCAGGAAGGGATCAGGAAGGCAGTGAAGATGTTGATGTGCCACGTGTGGGCAGGCAGTTGCGGTTTGGAGCAAGGGCAGATCTCATCCTGGGTGAACACACATTTCAGAAACGGCTTTAAAATCTCATGTTTTATAAATAAGCCATCCAGTATTAGTATGCGATTATGCCATGTTTCTCTCATAAATCTATCTGTATTATCTGTACAATGTTCCCTTTTGAATTAGTAAAGGAGTTGAATTGTTTCTGTAAGCATCTTTAAACAGGCTGATGAGATTTCTATGTCTAAATGAGGAAAATGCTCTGTTAGAAACCTACCTCGCCAGGGGTAAATGATGGTATGGGCTCCGTTGGCAGTTTTTGGATAGTAGTTGAGTTCAATTTAAGATTATAAAGGGATATAAAATCAGACTGTATCTTTCTTTGAGATGCTTCACCTCTGTTGTTCCAGAGTGATGCATTTCAGGTAATTGGGAGACTGTCTGCAGCCACGAGAAGTGTTGTGCTTGGAAGTAAAAGTTAATGTGAGCAAGCAGAAGTGGCATCTAAGTTGTTTGCTTCATGTTCAGCTGCTGAAATGAGTTGTAGGTTTTGCTCTTAGGAGAGGTGGTCTACGTATGTTCTTGCCTAGCACTTCAGTATCAACTGTTTTGTAGCTCTGCTTATTATTAAGCACTATTTGTAAGCCTGTAGAGAGAAGGTAAGGCATTGTAAGGCCCAGATTTAAATATGTAGTTGAGCACTCCTTTTCCTGACCTCAGTGATTTAGATTGCAGTTCGTTACCAAATCCTACATGATTAGAGCAGCTCACGTAGCCTGCTGTGTGCCAGCCTCCTTCCTTTCTTTCTCCAGGTGGGAGAGTTATATTTAATTTGTTGTTGTTATCCTTAGGTAATTCTTTGAATAATTGTAAATGATGTTTCAGTACCTCGGTTTATGTTTTTTGTTGCCCATATGCTGCTTTGTTTCCTAATAAAACCATGGATAACCAGAAATATTCTGAAGGTTTTGGCTAATTATGCAGACAAAATTGAAGCAATATATACCTCTGATACAAGGAGGGAAGAAAACTAATGGAAGATGATTCAAACCACGTATATGCTTGAGACTGAAAATCATCTTGGATTTCTCAGGCTTTGTATCTAGTTAAAGCTGCAGCTCAGAGGCTCAGAAATTAGAGGCACCTACTGTTCTCAACGTTACTGTGTCTAGCAGCAGAAAAAATACTTGAGAATTCCTGGTGGAGAACTTCTCACCTGGCAGTCTACAGCACACTGCAAGAGAGCATCCTTCTTGCTCAGGAGCTGCAGCACTGGGCTCTGCACTCTCTTAAGCCATCTTTGCTGTGGTGAGTGATCCTTCACTGTCTTGGGTGGTGCACTTGTGAAATCAGCTCACAGCCCAATGCTGCTTTAGCTGTTGGAAAAATTGTTCAGTGCTCTGAGCAACTACTCATTGAGCTGCAGAATATTTACAAGAGATGCACAGTTGGTACACTGCCCATGAAAATAGTAATTATCAGAAAGACACAAGTGTTGCTTTTATTTTTTTGAGGACTTTCCCTGACCACGGTAGAAATGAGCTGAATGTGCAGAGTGTTTGTCTGTGTTCTCTGATTTCTTTAGATAACTTTTTTTTCCTGAATTGGCATGTTTGTCTTGCTCTTCAGTAATTGATTCTGAGCATCTCATGGTTGTGTAGTAGCCATGAAATTATTACCAAAAAAATAGCGTGAAAGCTGAGGCACAGAATCCAATCTACCAAACAATACAAAGACCTCTTACTGGGACGTTTTGTAGGCTGACATGATTTAGAAATTGACTCCTACAATATTTTTAATTCTAAATTTTAGTTATTTTACCATAATGGAAATGTGCATAACTTCCACGGGCACTGTCATAGTGATTGATTTTTTTTTTTCTGAGGTGCTAAATTGGACAATTAAGTGGCAGGCTGTTTTCTCCATTCTCATCCCATGTCAGATAACACCTAAAGACCAGCTCGAGGGCGCGCCCTTCGCTCACTTTTCATACCTGTGCAATGTTGGGTCTTTTCTTCATCAGTCTTCAGAGTTTCAAGTTGCAGTGAGATGATAGAAATCTGTCTTTTTAGGAGCTCAAGGAGGAAAAAAATGAACTGAATGAGCACGCAGGGATGGTTCTTCAGAAAACCCTCACAACTTTCAATGATTTACGGTGTGGAATTTGTTGTGTTTATAGCTCTGGGTGGCTTTTTCTTCTGTGAGTTTGTTCAGCTGCTTTAGCTGCTTGTAAATGATCCAACAATAGCACGTTCTCTCTTGGGGAGATAGAGGCACACGTGTTCATTAGAGAAGACAAGGTCAAGGAAATGCTCTCTGCACTTGAGTACAGGGAGGTTTTGTGATGCCTTGGCTCCTAGAGGAGTTGATAAGCCTTTGACCTTCCTCCAAGAAAAACTGCCTACTTGCGGTCATTAAGCAGCTGAGTCTAGACTACGTAATTTATCTTGCAACTTGTAATAGAATATGTAAGCATTCCCCTTGGAGATGCTTTTTCATATTTCATCAGTGCAGAGTATTTTTCTTCCAGGTTCTGGTTTGGTTTTGTGACTGGGAAAGGGAGGTGTTTGACATACCATGCCATTTTAGAATCCATCTGCCACCAAAAGTTTTCATTCCCAGTTTAAGTCTGGAAGCGAACATTAGAGATTGGAAAGACCTTAAAAAGTTCCTGAAGGTAGTACGAATACGTAGATGTAGTGGCACTAGCAGGAAGCAGTGCAGTGAAACAGGCAAGTTTTATTATAACATCCTTTTTTTTTTTTTTTTACTACATCATTAATATTAATGTCTTTGGATCTGTGGTGGTGTTCTGCCGCAATGCTATTTGTCAGGGAAAAAAAATTAAGCTAAAGTTGCTTGTATAAGTGGAAGAAGTGAGCCTATTTAGCCGTTTCACTAAGTTAATCCTTTCTTCCAATTTTATTCCCTACTATTTTCCAGTTTACTGCTATTTGTCATTCCGTTTTTATAGTTCATATTTTAAGCAAGCTGGGAACTCTCTCATCTTCCAAGAGGCAAAGAAATCTACTTTTAATCTCAGTGTATCAGGGTCATGGATTTTGTTATTTTTTTAATATGGTTTCCAGCAAGCTGTTTTGGCAATCCGTGTGAGTTACTGAGGTGTGATCTAATATACATCTTCCTCTGAAGTAAGAAGTAGGCTGTCTGGTTTCTGAAATTGGGGGGTAGTATAAAAAGGCAGAAAACAAAATCCTTTTCAAAATATTACACCTTTTATGTAGATGAAGCAAAAGAGAGTGGCATCTTTAAAGCTTACTATTGGCGGTTGTTGGCGATCAGCTTGCATAAAGCGTGCTTTCAGCAAAATTTAATAGTGGATCTCTTTCTTAGCCACAAAATGTAAGTGTGTGATGTGTAAGATTTTATTTTGGCTTGGAGTTGTGTGCTTTTCAGTAACTGGCTAGAAATGTGTGGTGGGTTTCATGATTGGGGCTATTTTAGTGGTGGAGGAGCACCTGCAGCTTCCCATCTTACCGAGCTGCTGCAGAAACAAAATAAAGGTGAGACCTCAAATCATTTGGAGACAGCATACCTGCTGTGCTGGCTTTATCTCGGAGCTTCTCTGCAAATGTAAAAAACACTACAGCCATCCTCATTTCTGTCAGGGGTTATTTTCTCCACTGCAAGAGCTTTTTCCTGCCTTATCTACGTATGTGCTCTCCGGTCATCCTGGTGCTTCGCTGCCAAGTCACATCAGGGTTTTCTTCGTTGCTGTGCTGTCTGTCACAGGCGGAAGTCTGTAAGATTACGGTGGTGGGGACATAGCTTATCCCTTCCCTATTCCATTCTCATCACTTGGTCTTAAAGTCATTCTGATATCTGCCATCTTCTAAAGAGCTCTCAGCTCTGCAGCCTGCAGGCTTCCCATGCGTTTCATTCAATACAGCTGCTTTCCCGACGCGTGATGATACTGTTAGAGGTCGATTAAATGAACTGCACTCTGGTACAGAGTGTGACGTTTTCCTCTTGTTCTGATGTTATCAGATTATGTGCAGTGCTTGAGGCCAAAACTAGGCTCTGTTTGACCTCATCGTGCTGGATCTGTTGGCACAGACTGCTCCCCTTTGGTACGGCGCAGTCTCCTCGCCCTGTGACTTCTGCTACTTTCTCTGTATGGGGATTAAGCAGTGTTACTTAGAGTGCAGTTCAAAAGCTGTTTGTTTTTTTTCTTTATCTCTTTTTTTGAGTGCCTTACCAGCTCAGGAGCTCCCCGTTCCTGCCCCTCTGCAGCCTCCTTGGAAGCTGTGTGACCCTCCATGAAGCCACCCAAAGTGAAGACTGGGGAACTGCTCCAGTTTAAAAATAACCCAGCAGAGAAACACGTGAAAACCTTTATATTAATCCCATGTTTCCAGGCTACCAGGATTATTAAAAAAAAATATGAAATTGCTAGGTACACAATGTTTTCTGAGTAAACTAAGAAGCTTAACGTGATCCGTCATCAACCTTCCAGCTCATGCCGCGGTCTCACAGTCTGCTTTAAGATCTTGAAAAGCCACATCATATATCTCCTCCTTGCAACCAGCCTTGGAGAGCGTAGTATTTGGTAGCTTCTTGGACTTGGCAGTGTTTTGGTTTTGTCCCTTACCTTGGTGTCAGCATAGCAGAGCTTCCCCAGTTCATTATCAAACACTATTCCTTAGCCATGCTCTTGTATGTTGGGTGAAACATCAGAGAATGGCTGGCCCAAGCATCTGAAGGCAGTGGGTGTCCTGTATGGTTGTGGAATGGGGAGGCCAACCAAGGCTGAAGGGTTCTGCAGTGAGGATGCACAGAGTGCCTGGCGTTCCTTCATCCGCCCAGCTCTTCCATCAGCAGTCAGGACCTTGTGTTTTATGAGAGCATCAGCAGATCTGTGCTGCTGATTAATTTCTTGTCTTTTGTGGCTTTTTTAAAGCAGGTTAAGGTATTTTTAAAAGTGACCGAGGTTGAGTCTCATCGATATTTGTCTTTGGTTAAGTGCTTGTAGGTATTGCTGATCTGAGTTAGTAATGAATGGTTGTCTTTTATTGGCCTGGGAATTAATACCTTAGTGGTTAAAAATGCTTGCCCTTAAATTGATTCTGAAAATCCTTTTAAAACCGATTCACCTAGCTCTGAGCGTATCTGATTGCAGTCACCAGGGGTAGAGGCACGTCTCTGCAGCAGATACATGTGCATGTAGTATGAAATTCATTTCTTAGCTAAGAAGTAATCCCACAGTTTAAATCCCAGCAAAAATCAAAGTAGGGTTAACATTTCAAGGTAGTTTTTTTTTTTGTTCAGCTTCCATTTCCAATATAAGATATACTTGTATATTACTTATGAAAGCTTTCTCATTTCAGTGACAGCTGATGAGCTCTGGAAAGGAGCTTTGGCAGAGACTGGTGTGGGAGTAAAGAAAGCAAGAGGGAAGAGAAGGAAGAAGAAGCTAAGAAAGAATCTCAATAGAGGCCAGGAGATCGGAGAAGGTAGATTCACAAATGAAGCACTGAAGAAATGTCTTGGCCTCCCCTTGTGTAATGTTTTTTGATTTAACAAATCAATAAATTGCTGTTAACTTCCATGGCATCAGAACAGCTTAATATATTTTTCTAAAAAAAAAAAATCCTGATATGGTTATTTAATGCTGTTTTTTGTTTTTAAATACAAATTCTGTGTCACAGAAAACACTTGAAATAAGCGAGAACCTCTCATCTTATTGCATTTTTACAGTGTTTGTTATTTCTGTACTTGTTCGGCATAAAACTTTTTTTTCCTGTTATTTTCAAGGACGTTCTGGTTTCCTCTGGCCTGGCCTTAATGCTCCTATAATACAAAGTGGGATGGTACAGACAGTTTCCCAACGAAAAAAAGAAGAACGAGAGAGAATTCAGTCTGAAATTCTTCAGCAGAGAGACACATGGGAGAAGAGAAGAAAAATAAAAGTTAAGAGAGAGGGAGGATGGAGTGGAAAGTGTTGGGGAGGTGTCATCCTGGATCCTCCTGACCCAGGTCCTAACGGAGGTAAGAAAAAAAAAATATGAATATCTTTCTTAGTTCTTATCCAGCCTTTGTGAGAAGGGGCTGGGAAAAAGCCAGATCCAGAATTTTCCTGTGATCGAAAATCTATTTTATAACTTCTCTTACGTGCTTTTTAGTCTGCACATATGCCAGTGCGTGAATTAAGGCAGCTCAATCAAAGAACAAGTATTTACACAAGTGAAATGTGTTAAATCACTGCTTTATTTAATATAGCTGTTAGTTTCTGATTTTTGTTATGGACTACCTGAAGTTACACTGTGTTATAGAGCACTGCATTATGTTAAAGACTGTTATAGGAGTCTGAAAGAACAGAAATATCTTTTGTGTTCAACATCAATTTTAGTACAAAATGCAGCTGTGCTTTTCTATAGTTTCTTAAAGGATCCTGTGATATCTCACCTTCAAGCAACCTTTTTTTTCCTACTCAGACAGTGGAATAAGGCTTAAGATGTTGTGGTTTGAATATAGCTAATAGAAGTTCTTTATATGTTATTTAGTTAAATATCATAGTGAAACTAGAGGTCGAACATGCAAAGTGTGAAGGTGAACTTTTTTGCAGTGCTGCTCATTAAACAACTAAAAAAAATGTTGTTAGCTTTAACAATTAAAAACCTAACCCCCTTCAACTAATTACATATAAAAATAAGCTGCTACTCATACTCAGCTGAGTTTCCCTTGCAAAGCACTTCATGATGCTTCTATATTTATTGTTCTTCAGACTTTTATAGTCAAATGAGGTAAATATAACAGTTAATGTTTTCTAACACTTGTTTCGAGCTTGTTGCAGACTCCGGTCATTCTAAAAGTTAAGCTTGGTTCATGTCTTCAGAGTTCTCTCTCACCAGGAATATGTTCTCCTGGTGAAAGCTGTGATTTTGGAGCGTATGTCCCATAAATGGGAATTTCCCCCATAAATAGGGAATTACATCTGTGGATTGTAATTCTATTTTTATCTGATCTTTTTGCAGTCACTGTTGCTGGTCACTCAGTGTGGTGTTTTGTTTATGAATTTCTGTCTGAATATTTTTCTGGTGACATCTGTCAGACCTTAATTCAAAATCGAGATGTGCTCTGCACCAAGCCACAAGGCAGCAAAAGCGTGGTCTTTCCAGGATGATCTAATACCATTGTCCACGTAGACTGAAGTCACGCTGGCATTTTGTAGCTTTTCCTCTTGTAAATTCATCCTGTTGCTGTTTTCTACTTTTCCACTCCCTTCCCAGGTTTTCAATTCCTGTAGCTGGTATAGCTAATTTTGGGGCTTATGTTGCTATGGTGTTTAAGTCAGGAAAACAAAATACCTTGTGAATTTATGGAGATCTGGCTTTCCAGATCTCCTTTCCTTTCTCTTCATGATTTTCTTGTTTATCCTTGATTTTAAGAAAAACCGATTCCATTTTAATAGCAGCATAATGCTGCAGTATATAAATAAGATTTCCTGTGTTTGCTTACTGGTATTTCATCTTATTACCTTGAAAGCAAATGTTCCATGGAAGGTGGTGACATGACAATGGATGAGGCAGCCTGTCACCTGAATCTTACAAGTGAAAAATAAAGATTTGAGAAGTTAATGAATTCCCCATAAATCATTGGTGGAACATAGAGGAAGTCGAGGAGATTTCACGGTTCTGGTTCTGAGCTTTAAATGCAAGGCTATGTTGCTTTTAAATTCAAATGTATTTTCAAGTAGTTCATTCTGTTAAAAGAAGTGGCAGCTGTTGCAAACAACGTTTATGTATGCATGAATTCTACTCCCCAGTGTTTTCCTTGCTTTCAGTGTGGCTGATATTACTGAGGCTGGTTACTTGCATTGAAATTGGTTCTGTGGGTGCTGCAGTAGCCAGGTCAAGTTCTGCCAAGAAGAGGGAAGGACACTACAGTAAAAATAGGAAAATGAAACAGTCAGCTTGTATTATAAATGTGCAGAAAAGCAGTTTCTGATTAGCATATACCAATTTCCTCTTAATCTGTTTAAAAACTGTGCAGATTTTCAGTTTCCCACAATTCCATCAGCATCTTTTATTCAGAGGAATTAAATGACTTTCAGGGGAACGGGGACACTGGCTATGTGCAAAGCGCTGTCAAAGTGGTAGAAAGAACAGACCTGAAACCGTCAAACCCAATGAATCTGTCCTGAGACTGGGGCATGGCTGGACTCCCTCGATTTGAGATCCTGGTGGTCTGCTGCTAGATCCTCTGGTAACAAACAGTTTGAGCACGTAATGCAGCTTCCCTTCAGCAGCATCCATATTTTCTAACAAAAACAAGTACAGGAGAAATCTGCAGAACCTCTCTGTCGTGAGCCTTTGACATATGACAAATTTGATTGAAACCAACTGCTGTGTTTGGGGGGAAAACGTACTTGCATATATTTGGGGATAGACTGATGCTTTGTGCTTGCAGGAGGATCTTCTTCCACTTCACCATTACTGATTGTGTTAGTTATGAGGAGAGAAAGAACTCTTTTTTTTTTTTCCAGTTAGAAATACAATTATTTTTCAGCCAAGTTGACAGTGTTGCTTTGCAGCTGAAGAGGCTTCAGAGAGGGAACACGGTGCCTGCTGGCTGGCATTTGCATGCTCTTCTCTGAACTTCTTGTAGCCCAACAATTCTCTAAATTGTGCTGAGATGCTCACATTTGTAATAGTCATGGAGATTGTGTAAATGATCTAGCAACATCTGAAGCAGTGAGTCCTTGATTCTCTTCACCGCTGTGCTGCTTTAAACTCCCAAGCCTTTCTCCAAACTCTTGCTGTGACTATACCAAGCATGACAAATATTAAGTGCTTTAGTTAGCACTGGCTTCTAAAGCTGTAAATGCTGAAAGCTCTAGTTAATAAAATAAATTGGAAAAGCAGGAGGTTGGGAGGATCTCCTGTTCATTCTGTTTATATTGAGACATTGCATTTTACTCCATTGTCTTCAATTTTATTTTTTCTAAAAGTAAGCTTTACTGACAGTGTTTGTCAGGGTGAAAGCCCTTGGATGAGACCTGAGGGGGCTTCTGTTTGTGTAGTTTTGTGCCCTCTCCTTTACTTGCCATCCTTGGTGGCAGTACGTGCAGGCGGTTTGTCACGCCCAGAGCTCTGCGCTGTTCTTGCTCTTTCCTACCCCACAATTTCCGAAGACACTTTGAAAATGTCATTCCTTTTGAAGTCCCTTCTAATGACAGAGCAAAAACTTGAAATTTTCGTGCAGTGAAAAGGATGCGTTCACCAAGTACAGCCGAATATGTAACACACACCTGAACAGCTCCTATTATTACCGCTGTGATGAAAAGACTTGAAGGCAGACATGACAGGGAAACAATACAAAACACCCTAACTATAACTGGACAAAATGAATGAGGCTGTAATTGTCTTTGATTGCAAAGACTTTTTTTCAGGTAGCATTTGAAATTGAAAGAAGTGAGGGGGGAAAAAAAAAGTCTGGCTGCATGGTTGTTGATAATTTGAAGTGATTGTGTTTTGTTTTTCTTCTCTCTGGAATTTCACAGAAATATGTGTCAAGAAAAAAGAAATTACAAGTATGATTGTCTAATACAAGTTCCAAATATTCTGGATGATTTTGGGAAATAGTATTGCCCTGATGGAAGTGACCTGTTTACCTATTTGGTGATTCAACTTCTTAGCTTTCAACCATGTATGGCCTTTGCTCATTGTACATGAAACGAGGGTGTTTGTGTGTGTTGTCTTCTTTAACACTTTTGGAGCAGTATTTTGGGAAGAAGGTAATTTGCATTGCCTAGCCAGCAAAAGCCCAAACTATTCTTATTTTTTTACATAATGTGCTGTGGACAGTTATTTTTTAATAGCATTTCTACAGCTGGAGAGAATTAAGAACAATATCAGATATAATTTAATAAAACTTCTTCAGTGTAGGTGCTGGCTGGCAGTGGTTTTCAAAAGAGCTTCAGGTTTAATTTGGAGAGGTTGCAGCAGCTTAGCTTGTGGTTAAAGTATTGGACAGATTCTGAGCTCATCTCAGCTCTTCCATCATCTTTGTTACTGCTTTCTGTAGGATGTTCAGACAGAGCAGTTCAGACAGTAAGTCTTGCTTTACCATTTAAAAAGGGATTATTTTTCTTCCTGTGTGCCATGTTGGTTATCTAGGTTGGACAGTCTTTGGAGACTATATCATTTTCCTTCCCCTGCAGCTACAATACTTAAGAAGATAAAATATTGATTGCAGTTAGAGATTGGGGTCCCTAACAAAGTGGATGTATTAAACAGTTCTTCACCCCTTAACCGTAACAGGAGCTGTACTGTAGTTATAACAAGAGGGGTATTACACCTTCTGGAAGTTATCATTTGAACTGGATATTATTTAAGCTAGATTCCTTTACCGATATTGATTTTTACTCAAGAAATGAAAAAAAGCTTGCTTTATAAATGAGTTATACTTTATTTTCTCTGAGTTTATTCTAAAAAAGAAAATGAATGAAGTCAGGCTACAGAATATATTTGAGCTCTTTTTAAAATGAAGCAACTAATAATGCTCACTTTAGATATGTGTTCAGATTATTCTTGCCTTTTCTGCTCACTGCTGAGATAAATAAGCAGCTACCTAAAAATCATGTCCTTTTTTTAAATTATACAATCTGCAGGGAGCTTTGCTGATAAGGAATTAATACAAGGAAATGTAAGACACTGTTTTTCTCCCAACAGAAACTTACGAAGATTTTGAAACAAGAGTCATTGAGGTAAGCATTACCAAATTCTTCAAGGACTTCAAATAGTTACAGCTATTCTATATGGGGCTTGTGCTTATTTAATTGTCTTTGCTAAGTCAATCTTATGGCAATAGGAGTTAGTCTAGTGTTTCGTTTCAACTGCGTGATGTAATCTATTATTCTTTTCACTGGGGACTTCTCTGTTGAGCTAATACAAAGACTGTTTTGAGTAACTCTGAAGTGGCAAATGCCTGCAGATAAAGCTTTAACAGTTCACATGCAACCATAAATGGGAACCTAGTAAAGTGTTAGCAATAGTTCTCAAACAATTATATGTAGCAAATCATGTAGTTCTGCTTTTCAAGATAAATAAATGAAACAAAGCGGGGAGGACTGGGAAGACAAGATTGAGAGCAAGTGAGATGAAGATCCTATTTTGTGTGTCATGAGTAATACAATGCTCATCTGTCCTAAATGTCTTAACCTATGGTATTTCAATTTTCTGGGGAAAAACATTCTAACAAAATTTCCCATTCATAGTTCTATATCTACTGCATTAATATGCTTACTGACGGTTTAGGGATGATGGTTTTGACAGGGTTAATGCAAATCTTGCTTCCATCCTCGTTTCTAGATGGATCCTGTTGCATCACCTCACTTAAAAATACCTAACAGCAGAACTTCAGGCTGAAGGTTAAGGTCCTTAATATTGCGCGCCACCCCCTCTCCCCCCCCAAAAAAAAAGCTGTTCTGAAGAGCCAAATTATTAATAATGATTTCAACAGAAACGCCACTCAGAATGTGGTCAGAGAAAATGCTTATTAAAAAATTAAAAAGGTGGATTTTCTTTAGAAGAAAAGGTAACCCATTAATAGTAGCTTTTAGTGGTAAAATGAAAAGTGTTGGTAATGCAGATATGTGGACCTTTTACTTCTCAATGGTGAAGCCATTACTGGAGGATGCAACTCATTCCAAAGCAGACCAGTAACAATTAGTACTGTGCATGCTCAAGCTATCACAAGGTATTTTATGCCTATCACTTATCTTATTAGTTTCTTTCTCATTTTGAATGCATTAGTTGCTGTGGAAACCACAGAACTAGCAGAAGCTAGAAGGGGGGATCATGACTTCAGAAATAAGCTGATTTCTTATGATTCATTTGCTACCAGTCCAGAATCAAATGATGCACAGCATCCAGAAAAGGTACCTGTGGAAGTGAGAACAGTATTTGCCCTGTCCTTGCACATTCCCTTCTCTTCTACTTATGTCCTAATTTTAGCGAGACCTGTTGTAGCGGTGGCCAAGTAATTTCTGTCTGTCAGTGTTTTATGCAGCTGAATCTCAAAATCTGTTTTTCTTGTCGTTGGGTTTTCTTTTGTTTTCTTTAAATATCTAATGTGTTTAAAAAAAAGAATTGATATTTTGCTGAAATGACCAATGTATTAGAAAGCAAAATCCAGCAAGGTGTAGCAAACTTATCACTTCAGCTGGGGGACGTCAAATTGATAAGATTTAGCCAAGACTTTCTTATGAAGTATTGATATTTTTGGTGAAGGAGAAGGGGCTGGGAGCCATTAAGCAAGGTGGCAAGGGTAACACCACGAAGTGGGATGAACACCAAAGTACTTTTTATCAAAACTTGGATTGTGCTTTTGATATATTGAATTAAACTCTGTTACATGAATACTCTGGGCATAAATCAACCCAGTGGCTTTGTGTTCAATGTAATTGCATAAACTTATTGCTTTAGACATAAAGTTATTGCTTTAGAACATTCTCATATTGCTTACATACCTACAGATGAAATTGGTTATTAGATTTGTGTCCCTTCCGGGGTTATCAGAATCAGATTTGCGATTAATATTTATCTACTTTATTATTGGAAAAAGTATTCATGTCTAGCAGCTGTATTGAAAAGAGATTCCTTTAATTTCTAACCATTATCTGAGAGCCAAAGAATTAACCTGGATCTATGCACATCCTATGATAGATGCATAGTGAGTCTCTTTGCTTAATATGAATGTTGATACTTCCATCACTGTAAAATAGAGTGACTGTATAATAAGTTCTTACATGATTTTAAGGGGTAGAGATGACCATTCATCACTTTACTCCTGTCATTATCACAGCTTCACTTATTAAAAAGTTCTGTGCAATATTGCCTGTATTTTTAGCTGGTATTGTGTTGTACGTGTGTCCAGGCATGGCATTTATTCCACTGTATCTGTGAACTTCTGTTTAGTTTCACTTACAGCATGTCATCTTGTATTCTACTACTGAAGTTGACTAGTGATGCCCTTTGTGGAAGGAACCGTACTTTCTCTGCACACTACCATGTACTGTCACATACTGATCTCTATTTTAAGAACTAACTTGCTATTTCAGATTAGCTTTGACTTGTTAAAGTCAACAACAGAGTACGTCAAGTGGTGCTGGTGTGCACAAGAACAAGATGAAATTAAAGGCATTTGGAAGTTAATTTAATAAGCAATATTTTTTTCCATTACTGAGATTACTTAGCTTAAATCTTAAGAGAACATACAGTTCATTCTTAGCTCTTAAATGTGCTTACCTACCCACGAGTTTGAAATCAAGATTCTTTTTTGTCAAGTACCTCTGATGTATTCTTACCGAATTTGTCATTGGTGCCTAGAAAAAAGAGATGACAAAATAGTGAGTAGCAAATTTGCACTTAATGTCACGGGTGGTTTGTCACAATAAAAAATATGTTGCATGCCTCTATACCTTAGAGTATATGCCGGTGTGCATACACCGTTATTCCCCAAAACTGCTTTTAAAAGATGCTACTACTGAAAGTCAGATGGAAAATCAAATGGTTCAGACAACTACCAGCTTTTTAGATCATCTGATGGATCATCTGCTCCATTTACATATCAAGTTCCCATTTAATAATATATTTGAGATTACACTGAAAATCTGAAATGCAAGAAAAATGAATATTTAAGCAAGCATCAGTGAGTTCTTGAATTGCACCATACACATTTAATGGGTTCTTTATTTTAACATGTAAAATTCCTCAGTAAGGAACTTCTGTCCTCACGAAATGATGGGTTTAGCCCCACTAGATCCTTGCTCATATCTACCAGTTGTTTGAAGACTGAAGGGAGTACAACAATGAATCTTTGCTCCTTTTCCATGTTGGTACACAATTCCCCTTCGCCATACTCTTAGGGAAGGGGGAAAGCGTCAACTCCTATCCCTGCTCCCTGAGTATAGTAACAAAATAGGTTTCACTCTCCCAAGGCTATCCAGTTCCCAAGTGTCCCAGCTGACAGGGGCTTTGAAACTGGATGAAGAGTTTTGCTGTCTTGGGATCTGACATCTAGCTCACTGATTTTGACATTTATTTTTTAATACTTAAGTTAATGTGGAATAAAATTTGCTTTTGGCTTTATTTAGATTTGTACTTCTGCTGCAGTTGTTACAGGTAAGTGTTAAAACCCTAATAAGCCCTGCAGGTCTCAGTGTTTTCAGTTAATTAAAAGGGCACATTGGAGGAAAGTGGCTGTTCCTTTGTTACTCTGACATGTCCCAGTTGCCTGCCAGTTTGGGTACTATATTAGGTATTTACTAAAGTTGGCCATTTTGTGTCTGCATAATTATTTACAGTTAAAATACATTAGATTAAACAGCAAAATGGGTTGCTATGCGATGTTTCCATGTGCTATAGAAATCTGTTTCACTGCTTTGTTATATCTGAATAACAAAAAAGCATTTCAGAAGCAGGCTGGGGCTGTACTGTTTCAGTGAGGTTGCCACAGATGTGAGAAAGTAGGAGTGTTCTTCTGCAGAAAAATAAAAGCAGCAGCAAAATTTCTATATCCAGCAATGAGCCTAAGAAAATTGAGTCCTATAATTTTCTGGTAACAAGTATGACTTCTGAAATAAACAGGTCCCGTTAGCATTCTTACTTTAAATAGATGGCATATGTGATGCTATTTTTGCATGTCTTTTCCATTATCTTTGTCTTCATGACAATACAGGAGGTTAAAATAATTTGCTTGGAAACTTTGTACTTTGCAGAAGGAAGCTGAAAGCCTATTTGTTCTTTTGCTGTGTCTTGATTTTCAGCAGTTTTCAGGACTTTTATTCCATTTTTGAAGGAATGTCCTATGAACAAAAATGCAAAAGCCTAATTTCTTCTGTTACTACTGGTAATATTTATTATTGAATATAATGTAATAACAGTAGTCATTAAAACTTACAGTTCCATTTGACAAATTACATAAGCCATTTTCACTGTAATGGGAAGGCATCATTTCAGGAATCATCCATTGTCAGGTGATTTGTCATCTTCAAAATCAGAATGGTAATGTTAATATAAAAAAGCCTACATGAAAGCTTGTGTTATATGGCAGTGTTTGCGTTGTAGTATGAAAACTAGAAAATGAAACCTAGTAATCAATAAGGTGTGAAAGCATATAATATGAGGCTAGTGTCCCTTTGAATCTTTCACACATGGGAGCCTTCTGAAGGAGGAGATATAATAATTAATGTTCTTTGCAAAAGATGGGTGTGGGTTTTTTTTTACCCAACACTGAACTTGCCAGCTGCAAAAACTGTTTTCTGATCTCTTATTGTTTTCCCACTCTTTTCTTTTTGTTACCTGTTTCTAATAAAGACCAATTTACTTGCATTATTTTTGTGAAAGCATGGCCCCATTGTACGTGGGTCAGCGCAGCCTTCCCAACTTCCCACCACGGAATAATTCCCTTTTTCAGCCAGATGGTTAGGGTATTGTACTGTCCTATTTAGACAAAAGAAACACTCATTAGTGTTTAAATGTTTAATTACTGAAAGGCATAGACTTGATTTAAAAAAAAGTTCAGGTCAGGCAATACATGCATTTTTCATAGGGAAATGGTGCAGAAGGCCACAACATAAATAGGCTGATGCTATCCTTAAAGCAAAAGCTGTTTTCTGTAGATAAAAGTACACTGGTGCTTTGATTTATGTATAGAGCTTGGTATGATGTTGGTATTATCCTAGTCCTTGAAATCCAAAATCACTTTATGATTCTATTTTAGTTCAGGATTCTCCATCTCTTACATTGTAGGTAAAACTGTATATGGACTTGTTTCCCTTGAGTATTTGTCTGTGGGTTTTGATAGTTTTTTTAATTATTTGCCAGAGGTGGGGGTGTCTGGAGTGGTGGTTTTTGCTTCTTTATACTTTCAGATAGTGTAGAAAGAATGTAAGACAAAAGAGATGCTTTTAACACTGGCATAATAAAAATAAATAGTTCTTCCTAACATAGAATCAATCAAAACAAATTGCATTGAGTTGATAATTAAGTGGATATTCTCAGAAGTGTGTGGATGATATTTTCTCAGGAATCAAGTCAGTGATGAACTCTACAGAAGCCTTTGACAAGGAGTAGTTTTTGTCTTATAATTAATAATTTGTCTTATAATCAATAATTAAATATAATCAATATAGTGCGCAGTAAGTGAAGCCATGTTCTAGGCTCTTGCCTGAATCTTGTCTTTTTTTCTTCCATATTGTCTCCAGCTTCATAGACTATATTCTTAGTTAAATTGACTTGAGATTGGGTACGCTTCACAAAGTTTGTACCATAATATTGGTAGTTTGAAACTGAGTACTGATGGGGCAAGAATTCATACAAAACCTGTAATTTCATAAAGCTGGCATTTTCTCTCAAGTGAGTTAGGTTGTTTGCTTGTTCTTCCCTCTTCTCCAGCTGCATTCAGGCATGCTTCTGATTGCCCAAGACCTGTTTGGAGGAAGCATTTACCTCAACTGTTGCATGGCACTTTAGAGAAGCAGAACTGAATGGAACAGACAGAAAAATTCCCTTTTCCGAGCAGGGTCTGCACAACTCACATCTGGTGTGGGTTGCCCTTCCCGTGTGCAAAGTAGGGATAGGTGCGCCTAACTGAAAAAGATTAGCAGCAGCTGAATGGCTGGAGGTTCATCTTCTTGCAATTAAATGTACCTAAATTTAGCCATTCTGAATCCAAGCCTTTGCAAATATTGATGGGGGCAGTGGGGGGAGGCTGGTTGTGTGGAGAATGACTGTTCTGGGACTGTACAGGAATGGGGATGCTGGAAACCACTAGGCTTTCTGTACCAAACCGCAGAGAATTGTCATGCTTTAGGAACAGGAGCTGTATTTTGGAATGAGGAAAGCAGGGGTGAAGTCAGAAAAATAAAGGTTTGGGCCAAAATGCTGTCAAGGACCTTGTCTTCAGTATTTCTAAATGGCTTGTTAAAAAGGTACACAGAACTGTAGAGAGGTGTCTGTAGGGAATGTGAAGGCATCAAAGACTTCTAACTTCTTAACTGCATTGCTCTGTAGTCATGCATTCTGCATCCACTATATGAAATGAATTCTCTAGCTGCAGCAGGGGATCGTAAGCAGAATGTAAGACCAGTTTCCCATGAAGCAGCAAGAAACCCTTCCATACGTGTTTGCTTTAGGAGCACGGAATTATTCTCGGTAGTCTTACCACTTGTGACAGAGAACATTCCTTAAGGCACAGTCAAAAGCCTTTGTTTCTTTTTATAAGTCATTGGAAATTGTTTTCTAGCTATTGTTTTTGCAAAGGGCATAATAAAAAGGGCTTATGAAAGGAAATGCTGCATGAAATTACAGTGTCTAAGATCTGTTGTTTGACATCCTTGACTAAAAAATTATATGGTATACGTGATACTCTGAGTAATAATTTACTTGAAATGAGACGTTGGCTGAAATATACTTTTGGGGTATTAGAGCTCTAGACTTTGCTTTTAGAGCTGCAGGCAAGTTTCCTGCTCCCTGGATGATACCAAGTGTCTTTTGACTGATAATGAAAATTTCCAGACAATTTCTAAGATAGCACCTGAAGCAAGCTGTTAGAGGAAAAGAATGAGAGGTCAGAGGGGAGAGTCTAGAATTTGTTACTGGTGTTCCTGGATTTCTCAGAGTTTTGGCCTGTCTTTAAAGTAACATTTTGGGATGGCACTTCCAAGTGGCTTTGTTGATTAAACAATTAAATCTTACTCTTACCTGTCAGCCTGGATGAATGAAGTCATTGGCATTTGGAACATTCAGAAGATTTTGAGCGAGTTATAGTTCAGCATTATTATGAATCATCCTCTGAAAAGGAAGCAAAGCCATTTCAGGTGTAGCATGGCTGTGAGCATGTGTTATTGCGGGTTTAATCCAAAAGATCCATACTCAGATGTGAGCTGTCGAACAAAGCCACATTTAGACACACAGCATGACAGTAGGGCATTTGAGTTACGTTGTCTTCCGAATGAGTTAGAAAAGACAGTTTTATGCATCCGACAGGGGAAAACTATCAGCTCAAACCTGTTTTTGTCTGTAGTTTCTCTATAAATTGGGCTCGTTGCTAATTTGGATGAGAGCTGTGCCTGGGGTTTATTCCAGAGCTGTGGTGAATCAGCTTGTGTGAAAAACCGTTCAAATATCCGGACAAACTTTCATCTGCTTTACTGAGTGAAGGGTACAGGAGTCCAGATTTCTGTGTTGTGGTTCCTCCACTTGTGTTCTTGGAGCAGGGATACCCAGTGAGCAGGATGGATAGCTCTAATCTTCCTGTCTCTCAGTCTATAGCTACTGAATCAAAGTCTTGATTCAGAGAGGTAAGTACTTGATTTGTTCTGCTAATGGCCACGATGGAGAGGTCAGAGTACTGACTGTTTGATGATGTGGTAGAAGGTTTGTCTGTCTGCCCACCCACAAAGAAGGGCAGAGAGACAATAGCAGGTAGCAGGAGCCAGGACCATCACAGAAGAAACAATTTGCTCGGAGGCAGGAAGGGGAACCAAAATCACACTCAGAAGAAAGGACTCCCTCACCAGATCCCCTTGGTGCTGTCTTGGGGTAGCTTCAGAGTGACTAGATCGAGGGCACTTTGGTACCTGCACCTAGAGCAGAACTTTCCTTTAAGAGGGAGATCCTGGGGTTTGGCTACCAGATCAGGGAGTCCTGGTCCTGCGTCTTTGTGTGCTCCTGTTCCTCCCTAGGGATGAGAGCACATGGTGGCTGGCTTCTGGAGAGACCAGGGAAGTCTTAGCCAACTGATGGAGTGTGATGTGTGTCTGTGAGCAAGGCAGTCTGTACCAGCTGCTGGAGTGGTGCTGCAGGCCCATGGGGCTTGTATATTCATGTCCCAGCAGCTGGGGAGGTGTGTGATGTTTATTTCTCTCTAATGGCCTTTACTTCATCTTGATAAGCTGGAGAGGAACAGTGTTGGGCTACCACTGCTGTTTGTGTTTGCTCATTGTGTTGGTCTGTGTGGCTCACCAGGTATATATGTGTATAAGTTCTGTAGGTGTATATGTTTGTGTCCTCTGGGAGTGCATTCCCAGCTTTCTATAAGGGTGTGTGGATGGAGGCATCATCCTCTAAGGGAGTGTGATCAAGGATCTTTCTATTGCAAAAAGAGGATAGTGAAGGAGAAGCCATAAACAAGAACAGAGACACCGCCTGCCCTATCGGTTGTCCGTGAGGTTTGTAATAAGCACCAAACCTTGTCAGACACAAGTTGCTAAGGATATGTGGGAATGTTCGTTGACAAGAAACAAACCTCATCAGTCCCGCTAATTGGTGGGCTATCAAGAAAGCAGGCAAACCAGGACTTTCAGCTAAGGAAATGTAAATGTGAGGGTCCAGGGTGTTGGAGGGATGTGACTGGAACTAAAGTCCAGGCACGGGGTCAGGTAAGCTGAGGTAATGCCAGCAAGTTGCTGATATTTGAGGGGACTCACACGTATGGAGTGCCTGTGAGCACGGGGTAGAGGGGGGCATGCCATTAGAATCATAGAATAGAATCAGAATATCCCGAGTGAAGGGAACCCACAAAGATTGAGCCCAACTTCTGGCTCCACACAGGACCACACAAAAATCAAGCCCTGTGCATTGTCCAAGAGCTTCTTGAGCTCTGTCAGGCTCAGTGCTGTGACCTACTACCCTGGGCAGCCTGTCCCAGTGCCCGAGCACCCTCTGGGTGCAGACCCTTTCCCTAACCCCCAGCCTGACCCTCTCCTGTCCCAGCTCCATGCCGTCCCCTCGGGTCCTGTCGCTGTCCCCAGAGAGCAGAGCTCAGCAGCCTGCCCCTCCGCTCCCCTCGTGAGGGAGCTGCAGGCCGCCATCAGGCCTCCCCTCAGCCTGCTCTGCTTAGGGGCTGAGCAAACCAAGGGGCCTCAGCTGCTCCTTGTACATCTTGCCCTCCAGACCCTTCACCATCTCTGTATTTCGGACTCTCTCTAATAGATTTATGTCTTTCTTATATTGTGGTAACCAAACTGAAGAGGAGGAAGAGGACTTGGCTGTCTATACTTAATTTTTCATGAGTCCTATATGTAGTCTGTATCCCTGGCTAGGCAGGGTTTCAGAAGCTGTGCCCAGAGTAGGTGGTGGCCGCTCCTGGCATCCCTAACACTGCTGCTTGTTGGACCTGGCCCTATGGCAGCCTCACCTCTGTTGGGCTGTGGGATTCATCTCTCCCTAACACTTATATCAAACATCAGTACAGACTGATAAATTCACAAACTATTCCTTGAGGAGGTCACACGTTAGTAATCTTAGCAGAAGACAGGCTCATTTGCCTTCTGAAGCACATCCCTTGCCATTGCCCACCATATGCACAGCTTCTAGGGAAAACGTTTCACACCCTCATCACTTGTCAGCGATACTAGTTCTGCCCTCCAAATAGCTTGTGCATTTTCTGTGTTGTTTTTTTTTTTTTTTTGGTACTGTAGCTTTTAGTTACAACTGTGACAAGTTCTGTCACTGTGTTAGGTATCTGCTTTGCCCTTCGTGATTTTCACAGAGAAGAGAATGATATGGACGTGATCTAACAAACACAGACTTGATTTTTGTTTATAAGATGCACAGCTTCATTACTTCATTGTGTTGTTTTGTTTTTTTAATTCTTTTGGCTAAGTGGCTTCTCAGGCCTTTTAGCTGCGTCCCTGAGCATCTCTAGGATCACTTGCATGGAAATGTTTTTCTTTCAGTACCCTGCCGTCATTTTACTTTGTCTCACCTTGTATTGGACCAGAGAACCTTATGCAGTGAGGGATCAACCTGTGCAGGTGCTCTCCTCTGCATCACAGCAGCAAGAGAGTAGCAGTGTGAGGAGTGTGGCTTTGCAGGAAGGAAGGCTTTCAGAGGGTGGTCAGTTTGGTCTGTCGGTCATTTTTTGTTTTCACAAAAACATAACATGGATGGAAAAGTCTGGGGTTTTTACCTGCTTCTAGCACAGTGCAGTGAGCGGCCATGTGCTTAAAATCACAGTTACCCATAGCAGCCTCTTTGGCTGTAGTCTCCTCCATGCTTTTAACTCCACCTTTGAAACTGTTGCTTGTCATTTCTCCTCTTAGCAAACACTTGAGGTGCTTTCGTTCTGTATTTCAGAGCCACTGTTCTTCTCAGTTCCAGAAAGCGAGCTGAATCTGCATTATTAGCACAGAATAACGGGGACAGTCAATTTGAGATGCACTGTGATTAAGGTTGAGCATGCATCTGTTTTTGAATTTAAAGAATTAGCTTTAAATCCGGCTTAAATTGCAATCTAGTAAATAAGGGTAATTGTGTCTTAGTTTCAGTCACTTTTCGGAGGTCATGCTGTTTCAAAAGTGGCAAGCTGTTCATTGTGTATTAATTAATTCCAGTGCTGCTTAATGATATGCTTTCAGCTGCATTGCTTTAACTGCAGAATGGAAGGGGAGCACTTCTGAACACACTCCAGCAGAGAGAGCATCGCTCGCTTTGATGGAAGGAGGCACGAGGGTGCGGCAGGGAGAATCTAAGGACACAGTTATTCCAGCAGCCATGGCTGCCTGGGCACATTATCAAGCTTGGAAAGCCTTTACAGCGTTTCAAGAGAGATGCAATAGCACTGATTGTGATGGGTGACTGAATGCATTTTCCTTCAAAGCTGCTCAGAAACAGCTGACAAGTGCAATTTTAGGAAGGCTACTGGAGAAGCTTATTGCATGGGTTTTTCCTGCCACCTTCTGGATAGGGAGAAGAATAATTTTGAGCAGATAAAATCATGTGGGTTTTTCTGGACAATATGTATGTCAACTTATTATTTGTAAAATATGTATTGAGATTGGCAATGGAAGACAAAAGCATGAAGAGCAAAAGCAGACATCTTTCTATGCTCCTGGAGAGAGGATGACCCTGCTTCAATTCCTTTTTTTCATAATTATTTTGCATTTTCTGTAAATAACCTATTTCCATAGGTCCTTTCGTCATGGAAGGGTTGTATTTTAGCTTGTCTTTGTAAGTAGTAAGATTGCAGAAAGAATAATGGCTTGGAATAAGCAGCTAATAAAGCTGATAATTCTTTGAAGTGCTCTCTAAAATGTGTGCACCCTGAATTTAACAGCATCTTTATTTTAATAAAAGCAAGAGTGGAATTTTTCAGAAGTACTCATTCCTAATCCATACCCATTGTTGTTAGTGGATTCTTCTACTTCTGAACTTCAGTGAGAATGTTTAAGCCACGGCCATGTGTCTTGTAATAACTTTCTTTCAAATGTATAATGCTACAATCAGAGCAGTTTACTGAAAAATTGTAAATGAGGAAAAGGGGCGAGTGCCGCTCAATTCCTACACGAACAATGCATGTTTAAATTAACCATTAGTATAATGTATGGAAATCATATCAGGGCTTCAAGAAAGTAGACCCAAAGATATTGTGTATATATACATAAACAAATGTGTGGGTATATATGCATACAAATAAACCAAACAACAAAAATACATACGTACATACCAAAACCAAGGAACCTAGAATAGGCACTAAATGGACAAAGTTTCAGATGATATTAGACTATTTTTAATGTGGGAGACTATAAAGCAGTGACTTGCACACCACCACACAGGAGAGCCTGTCTCAGAGCCAGAAGCAAATTTCCATTTCCAGAATACAAACCATAAGGCCACCTGGCTCCCCATTTATTGTTGTCCCCCTGCTGCAAACTAAATAGCTTCTTGCATCGCTGCTTGAAATTACTTCTGTTAACATAGAGGAATGAGATACCGTTTTCTTCCCCTCTCTTAAATGAAGTCGTCTCTTTAGCAGCTGTCATCTCAGTAATGAGCAGAGCTACAAATAAACGTCTTCAGCAGTCTGCAAGCAGATTTAAGTCCAATGCTTTAACCCATGTAAAGCAACGATATGCCTTAAGCAGTTCATGAGAGTGCTTCTAAAATATGTCAAAACGGGAGGGAGGATGATATTAATGTCACTTGTTTTTTTTCTTTTTCATCATGATTGAAATCACACGTGAAGCTGGCGACATTGGAGCGTTATCTGTTGTACAACTGAAGACAGCATAGGGAATATTTAAGTGAAACTGTACTGAAATAACTTCTCATGTGTCTGAGCATAGATTTTTAGCAGCCTTTATTGAATGTCTTGAAGCCAGTGTCCCACTGCAGATGGTACTCACTGGCCAAGGCATTAGATAAAATGTTCCAATATATACTTCCTTTTTAGTAAATTGACTCTCTTTTAAAAATAAATAAATAAATAAATACAATTGTGTTTTGTCATAACACGATGTTTTGTGTTTCTTCCTTCAGGTGAAAAATGTGTTCTGTATGAAGGCAAAGGAAGGCAGAAAAAAATCAATACGTGCCTTAGTGGCTATTGGAAATGGTAAAGGGGCTGCAGGTATGTGCCTTTGCTATGTGTGAAAGATGCCAAAGTAATCATTGCTTGTAATGGGAGGCTGGGAGGTGTGATGATTTGTAGGGACTTTTTACACTTGAGAAAAAATACCCTTCTTTCTACAGGATATATTTCTACAATATTGAAATACGTTAAAGAATTATGAAAGCCTCATCTATAAAAGCAAGCTGTATAACCAAATTATATGTTCACTGGAACACTTCATTTTGTATAAAAAAAAAAAAAGAATTGGGAAAAGTACAGTGTGATTAGTGTTGGTGTATATATTATCCAAATATAAAAACAGCTTTTGTTGAACTTCAGAGTGATAGAGCTAACCACAGGTAGGTCTTACCAGAAGGGATTGTCTATGCTACTAGTAGGTACTATTTATACTTAAAAAAAAAAAAGAAAAAAAAAATCAAAGTGTTCATCCAGTGCATTAATTCCACATAGCTGCAGAGTGTAGTTCGTTACCTTCAGGTCACAGGGAAGAGTTTTGCAAAATCGCCTTCATGTTGTTGGGGTTTTATTTTCATTTGCTGTAACAGTGACCAGCTTTGCAGTGACCATGACTGATTCTGCGTTTTCCTGGTTGTACATTTTCTAACTGGAATTAATATTCAAGAAGCTGATTTTCTTTCCCTTTTTAGACCTCAGGATAATTCCTTGCTTTTAGTTACGAAGTAAGGGCTTGTTTACTGGTAGTCTCAGCTAGCATGGACTATCCTGATTCAGAAACTTGTAACTAAGCTGTTAAATCAGTTTCATTCTTACTCAGCCTCCTCAGGAAGCTTTCTTACTTTATTGAAGTTAATCCCTAAGCGCCCTCCCCCCCCCCCCCCCAAAAAAAAAATATATATATATAAGGGCTTCCTAGAAAAAAATATATTTATACTTCTAAGGAATTAGAATACTCAGAGGCCTTTGGATCCATTCTCAGAGTAACTTCAGTGATCTGCAGCTTGACCCGTTTGTAGGCTTTTCTATTATGATTCTTTATAAAGGTCTGTTCAGCAAGCGATTGAAGTCTAAGTATAGAAATGCTGTCTGCTGCATAAAGCAAATGGGAAAACCAAAAGAAATGTGATATTATGAAAGACCTGATAATACAAGCTGTGAGCAGTGACCCTTTTTCTTTTCTTTCTCAGCGCAGGCTGTAGGAAGAATACTGGTCAGAGGGATTCAGTTTGGTTTTGTTCTTGTGACAGGTGCTATTTAAACATGGTTCTGCTGCACAGTAGCTCTGACCAAGCGATCTCTAGAAGCAGCCAAACCATCTCAGTGCAGCATATAAACTTAGATCAATTAGCCCTTCCAAAAGGGTCCCATCTGATACCATGCTAGTGCTTCATATGTTAGTAAGATCACTCACAACAAAGACGTGGATGGCTGAGAACCAGCATGTTGTGCCACGTTCCTCTCCCCAGAAGTTTGGAAAATGCTCTAATAAGTAATTGCAATTCTTTCTTCAAGTGAAGTGCTTAATAATCGTGGTGAGAAGAGCCTCTGAGTTGGTCAGAATTGGTCTTTACAAAATGAGGAGAACAAGAATTCCACTTCACTGCTGCTACTTAAGGGGTGCAGTACAAAATAAAGTGTTGCAAGAAAAAATCCTTGTTGGTTTAGCTGAGTCGGTTATCGCTGTTTATGGGGAAACACAACATAGAGAAGGCTGAAGTAGCTTGTGTGTTATGGTTACGAACTTTATAAACTTTACAGCTTTTTATTAAAAAAGAAAGAAAACAAAACTGAAACTTACATAAACGTTTGTGTGCCTTTGAGGTCCTTTTAATAGGTCCGTTGGATGGGCAGGGCCAACGTGTTTGGCTATCGTGTAGTACAAGTGGATTAAATCCAAGGTGCAGGGAGGCTTGGCCTTTGATTTCTTATAAAATCATTTATTGTACATCTCTTAAGTCCTAAGCAATTGTTAAATTGATGTTTGTAATATATACGTTCTTCGTGCTAGTGATATGACCGCACATCAACAGTGCTGACCTCCTGCGTTCTTGTTTCTACCATTTTTATGACTCATGCTGTATACGGTACATACATTTCTTTCATGAGTTCAGTTACACAAGGCCAGGCGAGGGTGACAAGTACGTATTACTACTTCATTGAAGTCGCACAGCTAGGCCTTTAGATGTGGCATATTACCGAATATATAACACTTAGCAGTGTTGCATATTGTTAAAGCAAGAGGAGACATTCTGTAACATGCTGGTATTTAAACTTGTCACTCCTGAAATTTCTAAAGGATAGCAGATACTACATCAAGAGGTAGGAATATGAGATGCATTGTATTGGTGACAGAGTATAGGAAATTGCATTTGCATTGTTACACGTCGTAAAGAAAACTGTTTTCAATATGTATTTAAAGCATCTACCTCTTGGATGTAATGATCTCCTTTTATCATGAGCTCGCTAGATATCTCTGCCGATGGGATGTGAGAGCTTTATTAAGACAACTGCATTTCCAGTAGGGTGGTTCTGTACAACTTCATCTGCTTGAAAGACTGAAGTCCAGATGTGCTCCTCAAGCAGAACTTTAACTGCTGCTTGGAGGGGAAAAGTGGAATGTGTACGTAGAGGAAGGTGTGGCTCTCGAGCAGAACATGTCGCTCTGAAAAGTTCTGCCTGCCTTCTCTTTGAAAGGTTTTTTCACTGAGCATTACCATGTCATTAAAGGCTTACCATATGTGCCGAATGATTGAATTGAAGGTGCCCACGTGGTTTCATTTTTTTAATTTTCTAATCTATTGTGGGATTTTGCAGCGTTAATACATTACCAATGAGCTCTGTGTGTGTATGCATAAAAGAGGATCACGTTTTCTTGTGCAGGGGTTAGAAAGCAATTGAGAATTCAGTATATGGAGCCTTATTTTGGATTAGGCTCCATGACACATGGAATCCCACAACCCCTGCTGACACCACAGAAACATCAAAAGACCAAAAAGAAGCTAAACCCGTTGATTTGAAGTAAAATGATTTTAATTCAGTCTGTCTTGACACTATTGGACCACAGTGTTTTGGTTTTTTGTTTTGTTTTTTTTTTTTTTTAAAAAAAAAAAAGGCTGTCACATCCTCTTACTTGTTCCATACAGTCAGGTGATGTCCCATTCAGAGCTGACTGCAAATACTCAAGAGGCTGTGAAAGCTCTTCCACTGCTACCACAGTTCAGCTAGTAAATACGAGTAGGTCTGAGTGTCCAGAGAAGATTAGGTAGCAGTTTGGAAACTGACAGTCTTTTTTCTTTGTTCTTTATACATGTACTTATGCAAATGTGCTGTTCTGTTTGTAAACCTGAGTTTTATATTCTCTGTTTTTCTAATATAAACCCAGTCTCCTTCTTTGCTGCTAGGGTCTTGGAGCTGCCATTTGTACAGATGTACTTGATATGTCTGTCAGTTTCCCTTTTTTTCTTCCTTTCCTTTCAAGCAGAAGACCCTGTTACATGAAGCAGTCACCTCTGTGTTGTTTGGAAGAAACAGAACAAATACAGAAAGAGTTAACTTAAGCCTTATTTGTCTCTTTTTTTTTTTTCCCCCCTCTGCTTTTTCAGGGTGCTGCCTAGTGTATTTCTCAGTAATAAAACGACTTTTTTCTGTCTTTCAGGTTTTGCATTGGGGAAAGCAGGTGACAGAATGAATGCTTTACGAAAAGTATGTTGATTAAAAGCAAGTACAAAATAATTTATACTGACATTTATTTTAAGTAATCTTAAATAAGTCCACATATGTGATTTATCCATCTTGATACATATAATGAGGTCATTCTGCACTGACATTCTGTTAATATACACTTTATTTTCTTCCTACTCTCTTCTCTATCCCTCTTTGCTTGTTTGTTTCCATTACCTACACAGCATGCAATCTGCTTACACAGCTACTGTGTAGGAATTTTTCTCTTCCACATGCATTATGACCTTATTAAGGCTCCTTTAGACTTGAAAATATTATTTATCCGTTTACATTAATCTAGTTTGTTTTAATGCTCAACTAAGCTACCAGAATAGCAATGCTAAAATACACAGTTAAAGTCATTACTATAGTGAGTAATCTTTTGAAATGTTCAATCTACTAGGAGAAAACAGGTTCTTTAAATAGAACATTTTCATTTCTGTAAAGTAAATGGATTAAATGAGACAAACCTGCTTCCCAGGTTTTCTTTCTTGCTTTTTTTCTATCTAGTTAACTGAACAATAATGCATTTCAAGTACTTTGCGGAAAGGTTCAAGGAAAAAAATGTTTTATTTTATTTGCTAGGCAAAGAACAAAGCAATACGCAGCTTACATTATATAGAGCAGTATCAGAACCACACAAGTAAGTAGTATTTTTTTTGTTGTCTCTGTAACTTTCAACAATCATTGAATGCACTAACAAGAACTGCTTGCAACTAGTTGCAAAGTATAAAAAGATATGAACTAAAACATTTTCTGGTTTGATGCATTATATTCTTTATGCGTTATTTTGTTTCTTTAGCATGCTGTATGAAATCTTAGCCCAATTGGTTTAACTAGACAGCAATACACAGTCTGCCAATGCCTGTGTAAAATAAATGATAGTTACCTGCAATAAATATGCAGTTTGCTCCTTTCTTTCACTCAGGTTTGTATCAACAGTTGAAAACTATGAAAAGTGTCGTTAATGTGAAAACATTGAGACATTTATCTCCCTTCTATTCTCCTGCCTCCACCACATTTAAAATTTGGTTACTTAATGCATAGTATTTCAGGCTTTTTTAAAAAGTGTATAGGAGTAGTAGCAAGCCCAGGAGGAGGATGTGGGTGCAAGGTGTCCATGGTGTGTTCCATGGCAGCTTTTTGTTAATCCAATTTAACATCATACAGGTCCATGTGATGTCAGATGTGGTACCAGTATACCCATTAGTTATCTTTTGGAAAAATTATGAAAGACCATGACACATATTTAACCAAGTCACTGCATAGATAAAAAATCAGTATAATCAAACTTCATCTTACAAATAAAAGCTGTAGTTAATTCTTCTGAGTCTATTCCGTGACCATTAATATTTCACACTAATAGGTTGTCAGGTTGATTAGAGACTGGTAATGTTTCCTCCATGCTTTCCGTTCTGCTCAACATAGGTCTTCTCTGAGCCTGTCCTCACTGTACTATAAGGAATCAGGGTACAGAGACTGACTCATTGAATCAGATGTGTACAAAACCCACCAGAGGAAATGAGTTTTGGGTTCCTTTTGAAGCAAAGAGAAGCAGCAAGACTAGAATGGCAAATTTCTGTGTAGAAAATCTAAGAAAACCAGTCTGAGGGGGAAATCTTAGATTAAAAGCTGAATTATTAGAAAAATCTAAATATGAGCAAAAGGGTTAAATTACATTGCTAGTGGAATGTGGATCGTTGGAGGCATGTGGACCCTTCATATTTTTCCAGTGTAGCTTGTTTTTATGCAATAATGAAGTAGTACTCACAGATGTGTAAACATTCCTAACCTACTACAGAACTTTACCTAGATAAACTCTCCTTTTTAAAGAACTCGAGGAGGAAAACTACCTAACTCTTCACAGTTCTAAAAAAGAAAGGTACTCCTTATGTTTGCTGAGCTAAAACTTTTCTAGAGGGAAGAATTTAGCCGTAATGCCTTTCTTTTCTTCCCCCTCCAGTTTACCATGACATTACTGTGAAATTTAAAAGAACAACCATCCGCATGAAGAAGCAAAACAAAGGTAATTAAAACTACTTGGAAATTCTGAAGTTCTATTAATTACTGACAGGTATTTATTTCATGAAGTTAAATCATGCAGTGTTCATTTACTTCAGAGATGTGTCATTTGGTGCTGTCTGCCATGCCTTAAATGGTGAAGATGACCAATGGTTTTTCACTAAAAATATTGGCTGTTGACTACATGGCTTTGGTTTTGTGCATCAGGGTTTGATGCCCACCTTGAAGTTAAAAAATACTTTCAGTCCACAGCGGTAGGAAATCACTATCAATAGTTCTGAAGCATGGCAACTCAGCGTGTCTGGTGTCAACAGTTCTGCACAAGAGAAGATGGGCACCTCCGTCAAGGCTTGCCTAAGCAATGCACTGATTAGATATGCAAGCAAGACATGGCAGGTGCTCAGATATTTGTTTTTTCTCCCAGGACTGTCTCCTGGTAAATGATAATAGGTGGTCTTTCATTCCATCCTATGTGATAAAAATAATATGATTAGTAATATGTAGAGATGAGGAAAGTGTACTTGCCCATGGACAGGTTTGTGCTGTTGCTACTGCTCATCCTCACAAAAAATGAACCCTGACTGCAACAGTAGAGATTTTATCTGGGGAAGTTCTGCTGTATTATCAGACAGGAAACTGAGTGAGGGCCATGGCTGCGTCCCCCTCAAAGCTTTCGTCAAAAGAGATGCACAGCTCACCATACGTTGTCTCAATGGTGTGTCCTGTGTCTGATAGCTTCCGTAATGCTGACCTTTTGAAGAGACACTGCTTACTTTCCTCACCTCCAGTGCAGTTGCAATATATGCCTTGCCAGCCAGTGACAATGATGGAGATACATCCAGAGCAACCTTGTAAGCTGGTGTCATGTTCTTCGGGATTGCAATACAGAAAGTCGTATATGAAATAGTTTGGGGAGCTAAAGGTTAGCCTATTTCTAATGGACTGCAGTTTTCAACATGACCCGATTTACCTTCTAGGTTCTTTCTGTTTTGAAGACCTGTAATGGCGATACGAGGTCACTTCTTTGCATGAATATTTCAGTTAAATCTTTATGTACAAAGGCTTCATCTGACTTGCTTAGCCTACCTTTGCTTTCAGAATAGATAAAGCAGCTATTTTATAGAAAACAGATGTAGCTTGCTGCTGAGTGCCCTTAATTGGTCTTCTAATTTTAATATACAACAGGAAACAAATTCAACTACATAGCTAGTTGTTTGTAAATCACTTCAGATTCATTACGATGAGACCTAAATTGCAAGATCGTTTAATGATTAACTCATAATAAGTCAGAACCAGGATAATTTGCCAGTCAGAACGCTGTCATTGTGTTCACCTACTTCATTTATCAGTTCTGTAGCCTTTTGAGCAAGCTGAAGCACTGACGCTTTGGACGTACCCTTTGATTTTTGTGTATCTGGTATTATTGTTCTGCACTGTCACATTAGTAATATGAGAAGCTAATATTAATGTTCGGAGTTATGTATTTTGAAAGCATCTAAAAGTGCTATGAACCTTCAACAATTTTTATTAGATGACATTATTTTGGTTCTGGGATGAGGGTTTTTTTGATCAGTGTGACAGTAATGCGATAGCACGAGCTTCAGAAAATCTTTACAAGTCAACAGGTAGAGAGTCAGACTGTCTTATTTGCATTTCTGCATTTCTTTTTGCATTTAAGGAGCTCTAAAGGTTGTAAATCAAGTAATTTCGTAGAATCGTAGAATTAGAATGGGTTGGGTTGGAAGCAACCTTAAAGATTATTTAATTCCAACCCCCTGCCTTGTCTGGCCAGGCACACCTTCCCCTAGACCAGGTTGCTGAAAGCCTCATCCAGCCTGGCCTTGAACACTTCAAGGGATGGGGCATCCACAGCTTCTCTGGGCAGCCTGTGCCACTGCCTCACCACCCTCTGAGAGAAGAATTTCTTCTGAATGTCTAATCTAAATCTACCATCTTTTAGTTTAAAGCCATTACTGCTTATCCCATCATTGCATGCCCTGATGAAGAGTCCCTCCCCAGCTTTCCTGCAGGCCCCCTTTAGGTACTGGAAGGCTGCTATAACATCTCCCTGGAGCTTTCTCTTCTCCAGGCTGAACAACCCCAACTCCCTCAGCCTGTCAGTGCACTTCTGTGGTTCTGAAGGCCAGCACTGATACCCTGTAGCTGTAATTAATATGTATGAAAAAATTAGTTATGTGTAGTTTTCACATTAGACCATCTTTTGTAACATTCCTTCTACTTGCTGTTGACATTACAACTGTATAATTATGTATGCTGAAACCTCTTGCTTCGCACAATTTCAGCTGGCAAGTTGTTATATTCAGTTTATTCCCTGCTCCTGTACTTAGGGCACAGGCAGCGATCTCAACAAGTGATAACTACAAAGCCCGATGTTTTCAGATTAAAGATAAAGTCACTGTTACACTTAATATCCCTTACTGTATTCCTAATTCCTGCTAAATGGAGAAATGCCCCATCATATAGTCAGGATGCTGTTAAACAAGGGGAAATCCAAGGTAAGAGTTCTGTAATACGAACATCTGAATGTGAGCTTAACTCAGATTAGTCTCATAGTGCAGACTGAAAGTGGGCATTCTCTTTCTCACTAACTCAAGTTAGTGGTTACCAAGAAAACCTAGTGTAGATTGTCTATAACAGCCTGTATTAGTTAGGAGCACTACATTTTAAATGCTTTTCTTGATCACTTTTGTATCAAAAATCAGTGTGAGAACGTTTGTTGTGTCTAAATGACCTTACCCTCTTACGTAGGCTTCACTGAATTAAACCACAGTAACACAGTTGGAGTGCCAGAGGCAAGTTAAAAAAAATGCCAGAGCACAACTTTTTGTTTCCACAGTTGGAGTTTTCAGTTGGAATCTTTTGCTTTTGTGTTTGGAATAAATTTTGTTCAGTGACTGATGGACTAATTCGCTGCCTTCTGAGTTTCATGCATTAACAATCTGCAGAAACCTGATTGAATTGAGGTGGGTGAAAAGCAACGATGCAAAACACCAGAAGGAAAATGCTTTAAGTCACTGAAAATGAAACTTTGACAAACAGCCTTTCAGAGATCATTCACGTGTAATTGTGTCGAAAACCTGACTTTGTATTGTAGCACAGAAAATGGTGTTTTCTTAAAAGGCAGAACAAATGGCTTTGGATGGTTATAATTTCCTTTCCGATTACAGGTTAAAAAAAAAAAGGCAATATTGGTGCAGTAGAACATGCAGCACTGGAATAGATTATTTTTTTTCCTCATTTACTCTGCAGGAAAACTGTTCTGCAGAGTGGATTAATCAATAACCTGGCTTTTCAGCTTCTAAGTAAAATACATTAGAACTATCATAAAGCGATTTATGAAGATTAATAGAGCTAGGCCACATGAAACAAGTCTCTTGGGGAACAAGAGAACAGAATTGGATTCCTCAATAAATAACCCCTTCATTAAAGTCTGGCAAGTGTAAGAAAGCATTTGCAGTTAATGCTAATGCACTATAATTATACATTTGAGCTAATATAACACTTCCAAGTGGAGATAGATGCGAATGAGATGCAAAGCTCTGTTGTGTTTGTGGATTTGGGGATATGTTTGCCTCTCCCTCCCACTCACCTACACGTCCAAGTTGTCACTGTTACTGGGTTTTCTGCTTGAAGCATACTGGTTGTTGTGAGCTGTGACTTCATGGTAGGAAACCAGTTTAAATCCACCTTGTAGATGTGAACCAGGACTTTAAAGTCAGGTTTACCAGCATTAGGAGTTACCCAGGCTGTCCTCCAGCACTTGTCCAGTTGGAATTGCAAAGGAAGCAGTTTTGAAGCTATTGCAGGTACTGCTTCTTGGAAGAGACAGTCTGGGTGGGAATCTGTTTAGATCCTCAACCCTTGCAAGGGATTTGTTTTAATACGCTTTTAATAACCTTCTTGCCTTGCTTCTCTGCAGATTTTTTTTTCTCAGTTTTGGGAAGTACTAAAATGTTCTTTATCTGCTGAGTGGGAGAAAAATTACCTTTGTTTGGTGAATGTTCGTGGGGGTGGTGGGAAAGCTGTCTGTAGAAGACTCTTCTAAAACTGCCACTGGCACTTCTGAAAAATAATACCCAAACCTGTGGTATTAAACAGTTCTCAAGGATGCTGCATTTTTTTATGTTTTGAGTGTATAGATGGTGCCATTTTTGTTCAGTTTTGCAATATGTTAAGTGGAATATTTAGTATAAAAAGAACATGATCTTTATTTTAGCATGGCTGCAAAGATTGGGGAAAATGGTCCTTCCAGAATGATTTTACCATTTTTAAGGTATATTTGTGTGTCCTATAATAATAGGTTATAAACATAACTAAGAGAAGGACCTAGTTCTCTGTTTTTCCTAATCTTAGTCACGTGCTTACAGATAATCGCATAATGTCCTTTTTTTTTTTTCCTGCAGGTTATGGTCTTCGTTGCCACCGAGCTATTATCACCATCTGCAAACTAATTGGCATTAAAGACATGTATGCTAAGGTTACTGGATCCAAAAACTTGATTAACATTACCAGAGCTCTCTTCAAAGGACTGACACAACAGGTAGATTACACTCAGTCGTTCTATTCATTAGGTCAGGGGACAGAATGGGATTGATATAGTAGTGGTTTGTGGTCAAACACGTTATATTTTAGGCTTAAAGCAAAGTACTCTTCCCAAGAGCAAACAAAATCAGCACATAAGTAATTCTCCTGCAGTTGTATTAAGTTGTCCAGTCAGGAGCGTTCCACAGCTAAGTGCCTCCAGGACACATCTGAATTTCTGGGCTTCATTTGTGGTATTTTTGGTGGCATTGGAATAAGCATGGGCAGAGGCCACAACCGATATTGTGTATCATTGCTCCTGAAGCTGTCTCCTAGATGATTTGAACTAGGATCAGAAGCAGGAAACAAAGCAGCCTTTCCTCTAAGGTTTATTAGCCTGAGACTTCTTCTAATCATCTTTTCTCTTTCCTGCTCCTCGTCTGCCCCCAGGAAACTCACCAACAGTTAGCAAACGAGAAGAACCTCTATGTTGTGGAGTTCCGGGAGGAGCAGGGCCCACTGCCCATCGTTGTAGCACTGCCTGAGGGGACCGTCCGTGAGGATCCTGAGCCCGAAGATGATGTTCCAGACACTAAGTTGGAGTGGAGCGAGGTGAAAGAAGCTCAGGGAATGAAGAAATCACCCTGGACAAATGTCAGGCAGAGAGTATGGTGAAAGATACAGTACATCTTTCCTTGCTGCTCAGAGATGCAGCTGTAAAAGTCCAGCCTCAGTGGGTGGGTTGTCTAAGCTTACATTTCAGAGGAGGGCACCAGTAGGTCTCGTGCCATTCGTGCTGCTGATCCCATTCAGTTACACCGTTTGCTTTCCCACAACTCTTCCCACCACTGTCCAGCTAAGGACATTCGGGAGGAAACAGCCAGTGGACATGACTTTTACTTCAAGCATGCATTTACTTGATTCCTGAAGATGATGCGTCATGAATAGGTCCTGGAGTTCCATTCACTTTGGGAAACTACTGATTGTGGAAGCAATAAAGAATCCTCAGAATGAGTTTGGTGTGGGTTAGTGTCTTATTTGCAAAATGCTGATGTCTGGGAGACCTTGAAGCAAGCATTTCTCTCCATAGGCTTATTCCGAGTGGTGGGGCAACAAGATGGAAGGTAGGGGAGAGGGGAAAGGGAGGTGGGCAGCAATGAGATATGTGTAAACACTAGTTTGCAAGTGGGGGAGTTCCCCAATTGAAGCAGAGGCTAAATATCTGAGGGCAAGCAGCTGTGAGAAAAATCTCAAACAATTTTCTTCAGACAGGATCTTCTGTGAAGCTGTTTTATTCGTGATTGCAGTGGTGGGCGTCCTGCCAGTTAGGAGTGCATTATAGTAAACAAACCATCACCTTTTATTCCATATTACCTGACACCTGATCACCTCCCCTGTTTCCTCATTGCCTGAGTACTACAGGTTCACAAGCTACTCAATGCTCCTCTATACCATATATACACACACAATTTTTCTTTTTTTTTTCAACCCTTTAATTTCTCCCTTTTTCACTTTTTTCCCCTTACATTTTGAGAACGTGAGATCTTTGTTCTCTGCCAATTTGGTACTGGGCACAGTGGAGTCTTTATCCTGAATTCTGGATAGGGCCAAAACTATGTTTTATCATGTATTAGAGTGACCCAAGCTACAAAGCAGTTCAAGAGTTGACTTCTGTGCCTTCCAGTCAAAGATGCTTGCTATGGCATTTCTCTGATCTTTCTGGATGGCAGCACAGCCACCTGGTGTATCCACCACTCCCAGTTGTGTTGTCTGCAAACTTGCTGAGGGTACGCTGCCCTTCATAAAGATAATTAATGGAGATACTGAACAGGACTGGACCTGTTATTGACCCTTGCTTCAGACAAAGCAAATTCTCCAATTCAGATGTGGAAGTGCTCCTAACTCACTGCGTCCCTAGAGGCGAGGTAACGTAGGTGCCCGTGTGCAGGTATTTGGGTAACAGCTAACGTTATGGTTAAGAAGGTAGTCTTCAATTAAGCAAGAACCGAGATAACAATCTGGACATAGTTAATGAATTATATGTCCGTAATCTTGTTTGCATCAGAGGAGCTGAGGTTTTACCTGCCTTCCAGGTAGGCTGGTTTGTCTTTAACTGGAGTGTAGGTGCCTGATCTCTGAAGTAGATGCCTGCAGACCTTGTTTTGCTGAGGAAGCTGGAAGAGAAGAGCGGAGGTGGAAACTCCAGTTAGGCTCCTGGCTGAAAGGTAGTGGTGGCTGCAGGGCTGCAACGAGCCTGGTGGTTTTAAGCGTGATGGAACTTCAAATGCTCCGAAAAAAGGGCTGGTTCATGGCATTTCAAATGGGCTCTGCGCCTTCGAGAGAAGCCTTGAAGGGGAGGGATGGGAGAATAAATGAAACATGGCATGAGGGGGAGGATGATGGAGATCAGGTGCTAGCCCGGAGGGATCCAGAAGTGTCTGACTTGTTTCATAGGAATTTATCTTCATCCATGCAGACTTCTAAATCCCAACTGGATGTGGTCCAGAGCAGCCTGGTGCAGCTTTTGGGTGAAGCAAATGCTCCCAGGGTTCCTGCCTCCACAGGACAAACAGCACAACACCATCCTCCTGCCAGGTCCCGCTGGTCTTCCGATCAGGCTTATAAACCCTGCTCAGCAGCGAGAAGGCGAAAAAGGGAATGCAAGGGTGGGGTGAAGCCTCTGTGCATCCTTTCTTGGTGCACAACTATCACAGGCCCCAGGGAGGCAAGTTCAGTGCTCTCACATTTGAAGGGAACAGCAGTTTCTCTGACAAACCCTGGACAAGGTCCAAGCCTGCCACCTTTGCCACGTTTCCGGGGGGGTCACAGCAGGTTCTCAGGTCAGTGCTGTCCCCAGGGCTCCGTTTTGGGGTTAGAACTGGGACACACGTGGCAGAAGGGGGCTTGTAGGCCCTGGAAGAGCACGGAGATGTGTTGGTGACCTTGGGCTGCCCAGCTTCCAGGCACATGGGGACTTCTTGGGTGCAGTGAGAGGACTGGAGGGCAGGGCGTGAAGGGCAACGGAGATCTCAGAGGGCTTTTTCCATTTGAATTGTCTCTTCTTCCCTCCTTGCGAGGAACGTGCATGTTGTAACTCACCCAGGGAGGTGCAATCCAGCAACCTGGTGCAGCAACGCCACACCTCACCGTGTCACCCTCTGCTGCTGTCCCAGGTGTAAGCCGCACTGGGAGGGTTTCAAAGCCACAGCACTGCTTCGTAATCGGTTCCTTTGGATGTTTGTGACCCCAGTGGTGGCCTTTTCTCCTTGCCCAGCCCTCCCTAGGCAAAGCCTTGGCCCAGGTTTCTCCCCCCTAGTCCCAGGCCTGCATCCCTCAACCCAGTCTCTGGGTACTGGGGCTGGTGGGAGCTCCCACGGCAGCACCACCCGGCTGTTTTTTTCCAGTCCAGGCTTACAGGAACGTTTTGCTCCTGCTCGGAGGGAGGTGGCTCTGCAACCCAGCTGGGGCCAGAAGGGCGCAGACTGGTGTGAACTGGTGTGCGGCAGAGAGAGCAGGGATAGCAGAATGAGCTGGGGAGGGGACGGGGCCAGGTGCCAGGACAGGGGCTGTAAACGGGATGGCTACAGGGCAAAGGGACTGGGACGTGAGGGGAGCAGGAGGCAGTGTTTGGAGCAACCATGGTGACCACGTGTGGGTGGAGAGGTTGGGCATGGGCACCGCATCTCAGGCTGCAGGGCATGACCCCGAATGCCTGCTTTTGTAAATACGCCCCAAAAAGAAAGGCATCTTTGTGCTTTGATGTGCCTACATGCAGGGCAGTGCAACTCTGGGCTCCACCACCCCCCGGGATGACGTGATGCTGAAGCAAGTTTCAGCAGGTGCAGCTAAGCCTTCAGAACCAAGCGCAATTGTGAGCGGCAGCCAGTTCCCTCCCTGCTATGAAAAAGGGTTTCTTTTTTCCACCCCCTGTTGTAATCAGCTTGCTTTTGTCACTAAAGCAAACGAAACAGGTCAGGCTGGTTTTCAGCAAGGATAACCCATAAAGAACCCAATGTTTTCCCCATATTGCAATTAAAAAGCTTCAACCCTCAACAGTCCACCTAGGACCTGAAATAACAGAGGTGTCTCTATGTCCACTTCTGCTTCCTGTCAGTTCTAAAATCCTCGTTATTAGCCAGGAACTTCAAACTCAAAATGGAAGCTTTTTGTCCCCCCCACAAGCTGGGAGGGATAATTTGGTGCCACCGCACATTAGGCGCCTCTGTAACATGTGAAAACAGCCCTTCTTGGGCCTGGATCTAAATTAACTCACTTGAGTTAACACTTTGATTCACATGTTCAGGTGAACATCGTCACCGAGTGTTGGATGGGGCTTTGGGCAGCCTGGGCTGGTGGGAGGTGTCCCTGCCCATGGCAGGGGGGTGGAACCAGATGATTTTTAAAGTCTGTTCCAGCCCAAACCACTCCATAATTCTATGAACTTGAGTCAGTTTAGTCCCCATCCCCACAGGCTCCCTTTGCCAGAGAAGCCCCTTCAGGGCGTACAGGGCTGCGTGTGCATCAGCTGCAGGGAGAAATTAACAGCAATGACCTTTGTCTGGTTGCAAAATCACAGGAAACCCATCTTTATTCATGACACAGTGCCAGTGTATGTGAGAACAGTCATGCACTAAAAACAAGAGCTGATTGCCACTGCTTATCTGAGACGTTCTCCTAATTACCCATATAATTCTGCAGCAGTCTGTACAGCACGTTTTCTAAGTTGTGTTTCATGGGGGGATTCATGACGAGGGGTAATTTCTCGGGTTACGGCTGTGCCTCCTAATTTGACAGCACCCTTCGGGGGTTGCAAGAATTCATATTGCCCCCGAGACAAGTTGCGCTCCTTCCACATCACAAGTCAGAGGTGGCGTTTCCAGACACGGCACAGCAAATTCTTTTGGCACAGCAGAGACAGGGAGGGAAATAGGCTTGCACAGGTGGATGTCAATGAAAATGGCCAGCTTTCATACTCATGCTGCTTAGTGCCAGACGTTCAGGCTTCCGCTTATAGCAATAACAACCCCAGAGGCATAAGGGTGTAGTTGAGGGGAAGCTGCTTTGAGCTGGATGTTTTCTATTTGGGCCCCAATTACCAACATCAAGCTGTACCCAACCCGGAAGAGAGTGAAGAAAATAGATTGCGCCAGGATACAAGTTTCTCTGGCAGGCTCTTGGTCTTCGTTGCCACAGTCGCACAGAAAGCTGCTTGTTTATAGTATAGATATTAAAAAACAAACCCCAAACCCAGCCTGGAAACTGCAGTCATTGGACAACATTTGTGCTCATGGGATGACCACATGACACAACGTGCAAGGAAAGACATTTAGGATGACTTCCATCGGCGGAGAGAGTATATCTGATGGATCACATACAACAGGGTAGCTACAAATGCAAATACCTACGAATGGAAAAATACATCAGCCAGTTAATTTTTTATTATATGGCATGAGTTCCTGAGCAAATACACTGTAAGGCATTATATTTCTATTGACTTTTGCACATTTGGAGGCATTCATGGGACTGGTTTCCTCCTCCCCCCTCCAAAGGTTGGTGCTAATCAAGATTTGCCCTTGGGGCCACCCCACAGTCTTCCACTTGCCAGACACTCACCACAGCAGCAATGTTCTCCTGGTAGGCTGGTCCACCACCCAGTGAAGGGTAAGGTCAGCGCTTAGTTAGAATGGTGTAGTAGGCTTCCAACACAGCAGCACTGAGGTAGAACAGTGCTGCTGTCACCTGGCAGATGGCATCCTAAAAAACAGGGATTACACACTGTCATTCCCAAGGAGGAAGCATGCTGGGAAGGGAAAAACAAGAGGAACCCACAACAGGAAAGCCCCAGGCTGCAATTCAGAGTGCAGTAGGGGGACAAAAAGGGGAAAATTGTCTTTGAGTGATGGCAAGGAAGGGATCAGCCCTGAGGTTTGCTGCAGTCCACTTACCAAAGTGACCCAGGAGCTGCTGCCCCCGTGTGCCCCACACATGTAGAGGAACAGGAGGGTTGCGGTCATGACAAAGCAGAACACAGAGACAAACATCACCCAGCCCAGCACTATGGGATATACGACCTTGGAGGCGGCGATGAGGATCCAGACAAGGCCCCCAAAGATCTGCAAGCACAAGTGGGAGAAAGGGTGAGTGTAGGATGACTGCCTTACCCAGAACGGGGTCAAAAGCCAGACACTGCACATGGCAATAGCAAAGCCTGTGAGTTCTTCGCAGCCTCTGCTCAAATCTGGGAGCATCTGCCTCTGGTCTGGGCCCCAGTGAGCCTCACCGCACCCCTGCCTTCAGGAGTCACAGGCCATTCACCGCCCCTGGTGTGCTGAGCAGGCTGGTTCTGGCCGTTTCTGAAGGCTGGTTTTGGTAAGAAGGGAGCTTGTTTCAGGACACATCCACCTCACACCCAGCGCAGGTGGCTCCCTGAGAGGCGTTGTGCCAAACCCAGCCCACCAACACGAGCAGCGCAGTCGCGGCGTGGTGGCCATGGCCTAATGAAGGCCTTGTGCGAGCTTTATCCTGAGGGGAGAACGAACAGGTTGAAGGGAGGTAAACAAAGCTGGTTTTACTCTCTGTGGTAGGGGAAACAGGGCTGAGGCTCTCAGCTCTGTGAAAGCACTCCTGGGAGCACCGGCTCATGCCTCATCACCAGTTGCTCTTGGTTTTTCTGGTTAATGTCCAGAGGAAATATCATTCTGGTGACCAGTATGTGATGATCAACATATATGATGGTCAGCCTTTGCCGGCATCCAACACCAACTTAATCCCAATCATGGTATTTCTGTTTCCTTGGAGGCATTTTTGCAGGTCAAAAGGGAGCACCAGAGTCATTGCACTGAGACAATGACACATCAGTCACGTCACCCCAGGTTTATAGGGGAGACTTCCCTGATTTTATTAAGCATATCAATACATTAGATCAAGGATGTGACTTTAACTTTACGAGTACCTGGGTGAAAATGGTTCTGCTATTTTGACGCACCTTGTAATGACCCAAGACCAACTGGCACCTGAACACCAACCCAGGCCCTGTATGGCTGACGGCTTGAGTGCATTGCAGCTAAAGATCCTGGAGAAAAACTTGCAGTTGTTCCTTTAAAATCCAGCACAGTCAGGGTGAGACATGAGACTTCTCAATTCCCATCTCTCCCTTCTGTAGGATATTTCTCACTCAAGCAAATATGTTTGACGTGTTTGATTGCTGATTTTGATTTTATGGCACTGCTGTTCATTCGGTGAACTCATAAAAATCAAAGGTTTTCAGCAACAACCCACAGCACGCTGAAGACCACAATCTGATAAAAAATTAACTTTTAAATAGCCTTTTACAATACAAACAAAGCTGTTTTCAAATTGTTTCAGCTTCTCCGCATAGGCCCAACTGCTAAATTTTGTCCAGATATGCAGAAAACTCTTTAAATAGAATAGATGACAAGAATTAAACCCAGCCTCCCAGAATACAAGTGATAGTTCTTCATCAACAGCCAGATGTGGCAATCATCTGAGCTGTAGGCAGGACCTTTTGGCATGACAGCAACCATCTAAGAATCTGAAATGATTTTTTTTTTTTTTCCTGTGTAGTTACCATATCAACCCACTGCAGATAACCTCAAATTCCACTGAGGATTGAGAAGCTCTTTCTCCTTTTCCTGAATGCTGTGATTCAAGGGAGCCACCTCCTTTGTACACAGTAGAGAGAATAAACCTGCACCTGAGGTTTACACTTGGAGTCATACACCCCAGCGATGGGGAAACCCTGTTCTGCTGCATGCCTCCTTGCTGGGTGGTGCCCTGAGCCTTTAGAAGCACATTTCCAGACCTTCCTCAAACCACAGGATAGGGTATTTCTTTTTGGCTCATTAAGCAAGCTGCCTCGCCAAATTCCCTGCAGACACAGCAAACAGCTCAAGGCACAGCCAGTTCCATCAGCACACCTGGGTGGACATCATGCTCAGCACCAGGACTGCCCAGCCAGTGTCTGCCCAGCCAGAAAGCCCCCAGGGATGTGGCATCCTCCTCCATGCAGCTGCAGGAAACCTGGATTTTGTTATCAGAGCCTGGGCAGGGGGACCAAGTCCTCAAAACGTAGCTGGGTGAGCTGAGGGAAAAAGCCTTTCTGCACACATCAGTAATGCCTGCTTTGCTCTTTGCTTGTCTGCTATCACTTAGAGAATAAAGTAAATGCTGTAAATCCCAGGGACGTGGATGGGGTTGGGGGACGGGGAAGGCTTTGTTCCCAAATGGCAAAGTTGGAGTTTTTGGCATGAAATAACCTAAACTCCGTCCTACAGTGTGCAGCCAAACCACTCAGTGCTGGATGAAAGTACTCAGGCATAGGAAAAAGCCTCTCAAACTGGCATGAGAAGACCAGGTTTCATCTGCAGCAGCAGAGGACACAGGAAAAAGTTTCTCCTTGAAACATTTCCATCTTTCAGTCAGTGCTCAGAGCAACAGCTTTAATTACCCGTGCCAAATCCTGTGAAATACTAATCTTCTCCCAGTCAATGAGATTACAATATGGGAAAAAGTGGTATGTGCTTGTCCACCCTTCCCTCACCCCTATGTCCAGTTCCAGCACTGCACTTCCAGCCCAGAAACATCTCAGCTTCAGCAGCGAGGCTTTTTGCTGCTGCAGTTACCCTACCCAGCTTTCACCCCCAAAGCAGGGGGGTAAGCATTTTATCCTCTGCATGCTCAAACCACCTACCAGTTAATTTGCTCGATTTGGCTACCTAGCTTAAACCCACAAGCAACCCCTGCAAATCTGTTAGGCAGCAAAGTAGAGAAGGTTTTCAGAGGTGCCACAGAAATCCCCTGCGGACTGAAGGGGAGTTTTAGAGCCCCAGTTTAAGGCTCGTGGCTTTCTTTTAGGCTGCCCCCAGAAACTTATGGCTTAGGGACCTGGCCTGGCTTCCAGACCATGCACTTTTGGGTAAGACCCATCCCTGGGACACTTGCAGCACCCAGCATGCTGGGTGCCCCACGAGCAGCTTCTGCCCTCCCTGGGGGGGGGAAGCTGGCACTCACCAATTCAGGAATGAAGAGCACATCTGGGAAAGTCGTCAGGACGGCCAAGCCGCTGGGCAAAGAGCTTCTGGAAGTTGCCGAGGACATCATGAACCTCTCCTGCAGTGACAGGTCGGCCACTCTGGAGGCAGCTGCCAAATGCAGCCCACTTCCCTCCCTCTCTCTCTCTCTCTTCCTCCTTCCCTCCCCTCCTGCCTGCTCTTCCCTCCCTCCTTCACACCGGCAGGTGAAGACAGCTGCGAATGTCACAGGCGTGACCACGTATTGCTCTGCGCCTGGCGGGGGCCCCACGCGAGGTTTTCAGGAGATGCGGGCAGCCCTGGGGCGTTTTGAGCACAAGCAGGGACACACCACTCAGGGCAAGTCCTTGGGCGGTGGCGGGTGGCACTGGTTCACGTCCAAGGGCAACAAGGGTGATCTGTGCCCGTCCTGCTGGGCAGCATCTCTCATCCCCTTTGTTTGCACAGTCAAGTCAGTCGGCTTGTCCCCCACCCGCATGAGCTGGCCACAGCAGAAAGCACAATGGCAGGTGGCAGAGCAAGATGGGACATGCCAGCCACCCACAATTGTTAGGGGTGGGAGATGTCCCATGGGGGGGAAACGTATCCCCAGACACTCATGGGCAGCCACATCGCAGGGCCACCACCTCCATCATCCCAAAAGGCCAAAGTAACACAAATAGCCTAAAATAATGAGATTTGCCGAGCTATTTGTCTTCCCCTTTTTTTGCTTTTTTAACCTGGAGTTCATGTGAGTGAGTCATTTTCCCCTTTCCATTATTTGGGGTGTTTACTTCTTATTAACACGCTTACACAGATACCCAGCAAAACCTCAGCTATGAAGGCCAAGGCCAAAGACATGAAACATCAAGAAATTGAGCAATGTGGCCGTCGTGGCCTAGCCACTGCTGCTCACCAGTGACCCGTAGAAGAAATGCCCGTTTCAGTCCTGTCCATGCTGCTTGGCCTTTGGCAGCTGCTCCCAGGCACAGGGCTTTGGTGCGGGGTCTGGAGCAGGAGGAGCTTGGTTGCAGAGCCTTAGCATCACAAAATCATGGAATGATCTACGTTGGAAGAGACTCCAAGATCACCAAGTCCAACCATCAGCCTGGCCTACTGAGTCCCATCACTAAACCATGTCCCTTAGCACCACGTCCACAAGACTCTGAAATACCTCCAGGGTCAGGGACTTCACCACTGCCCTGGGCAGCCCGTTCCGTGTTTGACCACTGTCTCCAGGAAGAAATTCTTCCTAACATGCAATCTAAACCTCCCCTGGAATAACCTGAGGCCACCACCTCATGTCCTGAGGTCTTGTCATCTGAGAAAATAGACTCACACCCTCCTTTCAGGTGGTTATGGGGAGGGATGAGGGTTCCCGTCAGCTTCCTCTTCTCCAGCCTAAGCAGCCCCAGTTCCCTCAGCTGCTCCTCGTATTTCTTATTTCCTAGTCCCTTCACCAGCTTTTTTTGATCTTCTCTGTATGTGCTCAAGCAACTCAATATCCTGGCTTCTTTTGGAGCAGGTTGGCAGGCAGGTGGGAAGGTGAGAGCTCCGCAGGGATAAAGGAAATAAATGCCTGTCCTGAACCACAGGACATGGAGGTTTGGGACAATGAGTGCAAGAGAGGAAGGCAGTAGGAAAAGGAAGAAACAGTGGTGCGGATGGCTGGAGGAAGCTATCAGATCAGAAAGGCCGGACAAACCCTTTCTATGAGCAGATCAAGTGAGGGAGACGGTGCACACTTTAGGGGAGAGTCACAGGGGTGATCTCTTGCCCTCTCCACTTTATTTTAAATAATACTCATGAGAATATGACCTGAAGGTGAAGGGATCCTCTGGCATGTGCCTGAGCCAAGCTGGAGCAGCCAAACTGTTTGAACCACCATCTCTGGGATGTTCTAGAAGCACTGCATTGTTTATGAGCATCTGTGACCTTGGCAGAACGTGCCACACAGGCTCCAGAGGTGCCCAAAGGGGCCTGACCCACACAAGGCTGACTTGCAGACCACTGGGCAACAAACAATAGGACAGAACAGCACCAGCATCACTGCCAGCAACAGGCTGACCACCAGTGAGTTCCTGCTACTCGATGGTCCCACCAGAGAAGTCATGGGGGAGCAGGACCATCAGCTTTGGCAAGCAAAGGAAAATGCTTCTGCATGGAGATCAGCATGCTCCTAGGAGCACAGCCACGTCCAGGTAGTTCTGAAGACCTCCAAGGAGGAGATCCCTACAGCCTCTGTGGGCAGCCTGTGCCAGGGCTCCAGTCACCCACACAGCACAGAAGAGCTGCCTGATGCTCAGGGGGCACCTCCTGTGCTCCAGTTTGTGCCCACTGCCTCTTGTCCTGGCACTGGGCACCGCTGCACAGAGCCTGGCTCTGTCTTCACTTGCATCCTCCCTTCAGGTATTTATAGACATACACATAAATGTGTAACACTAGTCCCAGCTCATGATCCGAGGCTGAAACTGGAGCCCTGCTCTCACAACACAACCTGAACCCAGGGCAACGAGCTGGCCCAGTCCAATGAGCAATTATGTGTGAACCTTGGATGACGGAAAGGAACTGCGTTTCCCCCGAGGATGACCTAGGGAACAGGAAGGAGCTGCCATGGCAGTAACAACATCCTGAGAAACCTTTGTTTGCACCCAGCAGAGCCTTAGCAGGGAGGGACCCGGGGCTTTGCACAGAGGCGGTGGCTGTGGGTTGGTGGGGCTGGGTGTCAGCTGCTGCTTTGGCCTGAGGCTCATGGGAGGAGGAAGGGCCAAGGAAAAAAAGGAGCAGGATCTGTACCTAGGGACCCTGTGTAGGGCTGCTGTGACAGAGGGACAGCTGCCCTGGGCCCGAGGGTGCGTGGAGCCCTTCTTGCAGCTGAGCCGGTCTTAGCAGTGAGCGCAGCATCGCAGCAAGGGCTGAGAGCAGCCCAAAAAGCAGCTCTGCCAGCCCTCCAGCACGAGTCTCACGGGCTGTGCCGGTTTCTGATGTACTAGAAACACCCCAAAATTCGCAACTGGTTTCGCTTTTGCAACTGGTTTCCACCTGTTACTAAAGGAAGCCCCGTCAGCTCTGCACACACAGGGCACAACACGGCTTTCCTGTGGCGACAGCACCCTCCAGCTGCTGCCTCTGCAGCGCGGCACCCATGGGCCTGCTGCACCCATTGCCTCTGCGACGGCTCCTTGCAGATATTCCCTGATATTCAGCCTCTCGCCAGGATGGATCAGGGCCTGAGCAAGGCATTGGGGACGTTACAGAGGTCCTGGGCCTCTCTCCCGGTGGGTGTCAGGCCCCTGGAGGAGACAGCGGTGGGAGCAGCAGGGTTGGAAGCTCCTTTCTGCGGCCACCAGGACTCGCGCCACTCATCCTTAATGCTGCCACTCGGACCCAGGGGAAGGCCCCGCGATATCACAGAGCTTTTTGTAACGTCACCTGCTGAGCCAATGACATCATCAAGCCCATGATGTCATCAAGCTCTTTCCACCCAGACCCCCGGGGATGTGCCTGGGTGCAGGGTGGCAGCCAGGCCCGGCCCGGCAACCTGTCCTGGGAAGGCAGCAGAGCCATGCTGAGGCCGGCCTTCGCCGCCGCCCTGCTTTCCGTGGCCCCTCTGCTCTCTGCCGACCTCGGCTTCGGAGACTGGTCCCCCTGGAGCAGGCTCGGCCGGGATGATCTCCCCCAGGACCCAGAGGCTGGGTACACGGTGCTGCAGCCCTCCCACCTGCTGTGCCCCCTGCACTGGCTGTGCCCTGCCTTCGCTCGGCTGCAGCTAACGCCGGAGTCCCTGGAGCTGTTTCACACCTACAGCCAAGCCCTGTGGCCCTTCTGCGGGGTTTTGCTTGCGTCCTGGCTCTGGCACAAAGTCAGGAGACGCCGGAGATGTGTGAGTGAGCGTGGTCACAGGCAGGGTGGTGCTGTGCCACTGGGAACGGGGAACTGCCAAGGCTTTGGGCCAAAGCCCCTTAAACCAAGGAATAAAAACCAAAAAAAGCCTCAGCAGAACGCCAAGGGTGCTCCACATCTTCTGCGGGTCTTTTCCGACCTCCCCAGGAGGCAGAGGTCGGTCTCAGGTTTGGAGGGGGAAACGAGGACATGCTGCCCTGCAGGGATTGAACCCGCCAGCAAGAAAATACGGGGGCCACCTCAGGTTTTCTTCACATGTCCTGCTGCCTGCGGCAGGCCAGTGAGGCTGGAGTTTCAGGAGAAGATGCCGAGACCATCCCGACGGGGCTCGGTCCCCCAAGGCCCCTGCTCATTTCTTTGTCCCCCCTTGCTCTGTTATTTCCAGGAGAAGCTCCGGCCAGCCTTGGTGTCTGTGGGGACCGACTGCCAGGAGTTCACGTGCTGCAGCCACGAGGCCCTCCACCGCCTGGCAGCAAGCACGGCCCTGATGAGGAGCTACCTGCGGCGCCTCCGCCGCCTCCACTGGCAGGAGAGCGGGCAGAGGCTGCACGGGAGGAGGCCGGAGCGGAGCACGAAAAGGCAGAGAAAGGTGGAAGATGAGCAAGAGGAGGAGAGGCTTATGTCTGCCTGTCTGTACAACCCCAGCTACAGCGGGGCTGCGGGCGTGCTGTGTGATTAAAGGGAATCGGAGAAGGGTGGAATGGTTTGGGTTGGAAAAAAACTTACAGAGCATCTAATTCCAATCCCCCACCATGGTCAGGGACACCTCCCACCAGACCTGGTTGCTCAAAGCCCCATCCAGCCTGGCCTTGAACACCTCCAGGGATGGGTATGCCTTCGTCTGTGTGCTTGGAGGATGCTGCCCAGGGTTGGGTTAGGGTTTAGGGCTTTGGTTTGAAAATCAGGGTTCTTCCTTTTGTCAGCAATTTACTTAAATCTTGTTTTCCTTGACGTCCCTGGAGAAATTCAATTCTATTTGACCTTTAGCTTTCCGTATTGCATGTTTGAGCAATGCCCCTGTAATCCTCCCAGGTTAATGATGACCGTAAGGCTAAGCATAAACCACATCCTAATTGTAGCCCTAACCCCAACTCAAACCCTAAGCCTATCCTTTTATCTAATCCTACACCACACATTAATTCTGTCTAGAACAAACCACAAACCCTAACGGTAAACCCAAAACTAACCCTCACCCTAAATACAACCCTGCACTGAATCACAGAATGGCTGAGGTTGGAAGTGAGCTCTGGGGAGCATCTCATCCCATTCATCCCCCCCCCGCAGGGCCACCCAGGACCCCATCCAGGCAGCTTTGGAAAATCCCCAAGAGGAGACCCCACAGCCTCTGTGGGGCACC